TCGGGGGGTTGGGACATAGCTAAAGAGGATATAGCGAAAGTTTTCAGTGAATTTTTCCAAAAATGGTGTGGTTAATGCAATTATGAAGTGTACATTTATNAAAGTTTTCAGTGAATTTTTCCAAAAATGGTGTGGTTAATGCAATTATGAAGTGTATTTTATTGTGTGTTTGTGACAATGATTGAGAGAGATGCAACTCTTCATCTTTGCAATTGAGGCTGAAGTATAGCTAGGGTTTCATTTATTGCAGATGAGGAGGAGGAGGAGGAGGAGGAGGAGGAGGAGGAAAAGAGGATCCTCGGAAAAAAAAGGATGCGATCGCATGCTTCGACCTTTTAGACTGAATCCAAAAATAATCTATAAGAAACAATATCGTTTCATTGTTTAGGATTAAAAAAAGGTCTTGCAAATTAATTTTTTTCACTATTTAAGAGTAAAAAAGAAAAAAAACATGCACGTATTGTTTTTTCCAAGATGTATCTTATGATATGTATCTCTTGTCATTGTAACAATACGTTTCATCTAAGAAGCACGAGCATGGACACGGTCACAGACATGGGTAGGGTGTTCACCCTACCCTACGTGTAGGAATTATGGTATTTTATTTTTTTACTCGATATTTTACAGAAGAATTTTTTCTTGACTTACCCTATCCAATCAAGTACATTATTCTTACCTAAATTCCAGCCAAAAAAATAGGATAGGAAGTTGGGTGAACACATTTTTAAGTCATTGATTTTTGGATCATTTTAATAATTTAATTAAGTAACCTGCACTAATTAACTACCACAATAAACCAATAATACTAAAGAAAACACAATAAATTCGATAATACATAAACAATTATAATAAAACACAACTAGAAAGTCATAAACTTCAATACATCATATATATAAGAAAGCCATAAACATCAATAAAATTTTAAGGTTTTTAAATTTTTAGATTTTAATTTTTAGGGATTAACATATATATATATATATGTATGTATATGCGGATAGGGTAGAGTAGAAATACGAAAATTTTGTAGGCATTTCGCATTCCTATCCGATTTTTTGCAGAATACAAAAAAATCTTCTGTTGACTTACCACATTCTTTCAGGTAGTCGATCAATAGAGTCGGATAGGGTAGAGTAGGGTCGAAATTTGCGGGTAATCAGAAATTTGAACATCCCTAGATATGGGGCACGGATTTGACATGACATAGACATGCCGACCAGTGTTTTGAAAAGCTCGCCTAGGCGCTCGCCTAGGCGAGAAGCGAGGCGAGGCGAGCTTATCTCGCCTGGAGGACCCCAGGCGAAGCGAATGTGAGCGAAGCGAGAAAAAAGCGAGAATAAGCGAAAAAAGCGAAAAAGCGAACGCTTTATTATAAAAAGCGATTCTGCTTCACTTTTTTTTTTTTTTTTTTTTTTCTGATTACAGGTTAGTAGTCTATTTTATTTTTTAATCACTAATGACTTTTTTTTTAGACTATTGCTGGTCTATTTTTTTTTTTTTTTTATAAAACAATGTTTCGAACAAAACACATTCCTTTTTTTTCCTTGTGTTGCTGAATTCATTTAGAATATTTGTGGGATGTGGGAGTCAGGCGACTACACTGCATGACAATTATGATAAAAAAATAAAGCAGGAGTATCAGAAATGGGGGTAAATAATAAATTCTTCTACAAAGAAGTGTCTCTGATATGTCTTGGTTATACTTTTCCCTTTTCTTATATATATACAAATGGTACCAAAAAGTGGTCTATGCTTATACCATGTTTAATTATTTTAGTACATGTGAAATGTGCCTCTGTTCTGCTTTTTTTTATTCAGTATATAATTACATATGAAATTGTTTACAATTGATTCTGCTCCTGTCATGATCATTGTGCTTCTGTTTTTTTTTTAGCTCATTCTGCTTCTATTTTTTTTTTGTTGATTCTGTTGCTGCTTCGATTTTGCTGTCCTGTGTTGCTTTTGTTTTTTTTAATTGTCATTCTGCTTCTTTTTTTTTTTTTGCTAATTCTGCTGTTGTCCTGATTCTGCTTCTTTTGTTGTCCTACCCTGTCAATATGAAAATGTATACAATTGTTAGTATTTGTTTGAATTTAAATGTTTAAGTTATGACTGTTATTAAGATTTGAGATATTATTAGTGTTTGTTTTAATTTAAATGTTTATGGTTTTACTTGCATTTAAATATTTAGTATATATAAAATTAGAACTTAGATTGTTTAGAAGTAATTAAACTAAAATATATATTTTTTTTAACTGTTCGCTTTGCTTCGGTAAAGCGTGTCGCTTCGCTTCTCGCTTCTCGCCTAGGCGTTAGGAGCCTTGGTCGCTTCGGTTCGCTTTACGCCTTAAATAACACAGATGCCGACATGGTATTTTTCTAAAAAGTCGAGCATGAATACATTGAGAACACGTTGTATATAAAACATATTTTTATATGGTCAATACATATTTTATAGGCAATGAGTTCCCAGATTTACACCCAATACAAACATTAATTTGGCCTCAGTTAATGTGTAAGCCTAACCGTCCAAATTGAGAACAAAATAGATACACCTCATCAAGCCCATTACAAAAGGTCCGAAAAAGAGTCTAAAACCCCTTAGGTGAGTTGATTGGATGGTAATTTGGCTGACCAATCAATGAAAGACAAATGGCTGATAAAATATGATGAGGAGCTAATTTGATTACACGCACATCACCTAAAACAAAAATTGTACAAACACTAGTTGCTTTTTGTTCTCCTCTCTCGCTTTTTCTCTCTTTCTATTACCTCTACAACTTCTAGTCTCCCTCTCTCTCTCTCTTCTTATCTCTTTGTCACCGATCTAAAGTATGATATCTTCCTTCCAAAGTGGTGCTTCTTCGACAGGTCCTAAACACATGGGTAACGGCCTCTTTCTTTATCATATTCGACTTTCTCATGCGATACAATTTGTTTTCTCTGTTTTGTCAGATTTTGCCAGCAACGAATTGCAAACATGTCCCGGCATGTCGATGATGTGTCCGGACGTGTCTGAAATAATAAAAAATGAAAAGAAAATCCGGGCACTTGTTCTTGCACGTGCGACATGTGGCTAGACGTGCTCGAGTCCCAGACTTGTCGGACACCGGTACGTGAACCATTTTAGCAGCGCACCGTACGATCCTAACAATATTGGAGACTATTTTTTTTGGTAGGAAACAAACTTTCATTAATTAAATAGAAATGTATGACAGAAGTGGACAGGAAATCCACCCTTTGAGGTACATAAAATGAGAAAATACATCAAAGCTGACATCTTCCTCTAGATCCATGCTACAATCTAATCAATACTAAGAGAATAAAATGGGAAGCCAAAAAACCTTGTTCTATCTGGAAGAAACTCCACAGATTCTTTCTTCAAAACTTCTGGTATTCCTTTCCTCTAGACAATAATAAAAGTAGAGGCACCGTGCGTCTCCTTAGAATTCAAAGGAGAAAGCTGAGGCCTTAACCTCAAAAGTCAGGCCTAAACTGGTCCACTTTTAGTATGTTTTGGCTTGCGTGGAACATGCAATGAGACTATTGTTAATTATTTAATGTTTGATGAATTTTACTAATTTGGTGGCTTAAGTATATCCACTCCGTGCGTAATACATCTGTGTGAAATCTTCCACCTTTTTGAGCTTGAATTGTAATTTTGTATGTAGCTTATTGCTCTGAAGTTTTGCCTACAATTCCAATATCATTGTGCCTAAATTTGAATGGCAATCTCTTTATATCTAAATAACTAAAAGTGTCGTGTATATATAATAAGCCATTAATTTTCCTCTCTTATGCTACTTGCATTTCAGGTGGACACAATTTTGGATAAGGAAAACTTTACACTGGATGAGCTTCTGGATGAGGATGAAATAATTCAAGAATGTAAATCCCTTAATGGACGTCTTATCAATTTGTAAGGCCTCAAATTTACTGTGGTGCTACCATTTTCTTCACTATTACTTACTTCTAATATTTTAGGCTCATAATGGGCTTCTTTCCAATTTTTAATGCTTTTTAGTTCTCTGTCATATTAAAAATATACTGTCTGCTTACGGTTGTTTCTGTCGTCTTTATTTGATACCTGTGGTTTGTTTCTGTGCATGGTACAGCGTTGCTTATTGTATTTCAAGGATGGTTCCATAGGAGGAATACATCATAAGCAGGAATTCTTGTTTTTTGTTGATGCGAGAACCTGCGGCATTGTGCCTGAGGACATTTCCATTCTTGAACATCTATTTTTGCCGATATTTATCCTGGGAACTGAAGAAACTTTGTTTGACCCTTGAAGCACTGAATGTTCCTTAGTTTATATTATGACTGCTGATTCATCCTTTTCTCTTAGAAAAAATTGCTTGGACCATCTTTACCAGAAAATTGAGAAGCCCGATCCCTCCACTCCATGTTAAAACTATTTTACTATAATATCTTTGGGGTGGTTGTTAGGGATGCAGCCATGACATGTTAGCCCTTGGTTTTGGCACCAAAGCTGGGACTTAACTTTAAATGATGGAATGTATAAGCAATAAATCAGCTTGAGGTCCAAATTTATGTGGGAACTATTGAAGAAGTGCCATTGTTTATTGAGTCAAAAAGGTAGGAAACAACTACTGGTAATGCTTTGGTCGGATGACTTGTCCACCCTAATTGTATCCTAGTTCTGTGCTTGACATTTCATCAATAAATTACATTTCTTAACCAAAAAAAAGGAATCAATTGCTGGAGCAAAACCTTTTAGGCTGACTTGGCCCAGCCGGCACAAGTATTCTGTGTTGGAAGCAAGGTAAATTAAAACATGTAGATTGAGCTGATTGCAAGAGCCAGTACATTGTAGACCCTAGCAGTTGTTCTTGTAGGCGGGCTTGCAACTTTTTTGAGAACAGAAACTGAAGCTTAGCAAGCGTTTAAAGCCAGTTACTGTATGAGTTACTGTTGCAGAAAGGTGTGACATTCGTTCGTTTGTGTTTTACATATGATCTTACCACATAGCTGTTACTTTTATGGCCCCCACAACCTACCATGATAGTCCAGAAGACAACCTCAGGTTGCCTGAGGTTGCATTGTGCATTTGCATGATGTTTGTTGAAGTATTTGTTGGCTATGACATGGTTCTTTCTTGTTTCTCAATTGTTTTAAACGGATTTGATGCATTTGCATGGTACATTTTTTTTTTTTGTCTCTGTTCAACTCCAAAGTTGATTCTAAGATTTTTTTTTGCAAGTTTTCTAAGATTTTTTTCCTTCTTAAAGCATGTATAAGCTTCTAACCTGTGTTATGCAATTTCCTTACACTGGCCGTGTTGCAGTTTGCGAGAAAGAGCTCAAGTTGAACAGCTTATTCGATACATAGTGGAAGAAGCACCTGAAGATTCTGAAAAAAGCATTCCTTTTAAGTAGGTTACTGTGGATGGACTTGTTTCCTAGGTGCTCTTTTATACATCAGGATGCATTTTGTGATAGTTTCATGATTTCATTGTATCTAACATCTAACCAGCTTAATATAATATTTGTTATTTGATTGTATAATAGGTTTCCTTTTATTGCTTGTGAAATTTTTACTTGTGAAGTTGATATCATACTCAAGACGCTGGTAGAGGATGAGGAGGTGAGAAGTTATTGGAGTTTGTTTCCACTTTTTAGGTTCTTAGTTTGTCTCTTGACTTGAATCAATCTAGTCAATCAAAGTGGTTGTTCATTTCTGGTTGACAGTTGATGAACTTACTGTTCTCCTTTTTGGAACCTGAAAAGCCGCATAGCACACTACTGGCAGGTTACTTCAGCAAGGTATGGCTATAATGTTCCTTTGATACTTATATCTAACATCTATGTTTGCAGAACAATCACTTAATCGCTTAGAATTGAAGGGGATTGCTGTTATGCAATTTTTTTTAAGGTTTTCTGTTTCGTTTCCTTTTTCTGAAGTTATTGTTATATTTGTTTTTATATTAGTGTTTGATTTTCTGATTTTCATATGCTAGGTTGTCATATGCCTATTGTTGCGCAAGACCATTACATTTATGGATTATATTCGAGTAAGTCTGATTTGTTTTATCATTACTGAGAGAACCTATCTACTTGTGTATATGCCACACAAATAATCATGCGCATGTATCTTGGTAGTCCTTTATGAACCCTGGCACATTTACATTTGTGGCCTTGTGTAGGACCGATTACTGATTTTTGGGGTTCATTTTTCCCTATGTTAACAAAATATTGGATTAGGATAGCAGTTGTTGGATTACTAATATGTATTAAATGTAGCTAGTTGTTGAGAAAATGAGGTTATTCTGATTGATTTAGGATAGCGGGATATTTCATAAGTTTGCACTACTGGTATCTTTGCTATTTACTTTTAAGTTTGCCGAGTACATATTTCCAGTTTCTTTGGTTGTTAGATGATGCTAATTGCTAAATATTCCATGGTTTGCACAACCTTTTAATTTTTTTTTTTGTTTTTTTGTTTTTGAGCTGTGAATGCCATTGAGCTAGTATATACATTATGTGCTCACTTAGGTTCATCAAGAAATTATCCGGAGACTGGTTGATCTTATTGGAATTACATCCATCATGGAGGTTCGTTTTCAGCTGCTGTTTTCGTTGTTCCTTATTTGAAACCCTCTTGCTCATTCCTTCCTTGTTGAACAGGTTTTAATTCGTCTGATTGGTGCTGATGAACATCTCTATAGCAACTATGTGGACTCAATGCAGTGGTTGGAAGAGATTGATGTGCTAGAGATGATTGTGGATAAGTTCAGCTCATCGGTAAGTGGCATTCCATATCAGGATGATCTTGAATATTATAAACATCTGATTTTTAACAATTATCAAAACAAGAAAGAGAGAAGAGCGAATGGGAGAGAAAATATTATGGCCATAGTTGCCAAATTGCGTATCGGAAGACGTATTGTTTTTCAAACATTGTGTATCGTATCGTATCGTGTATCGTAACATACGCACAATTTTAATTTTTAAATAATTATTAATATAATATATATATACCTACCTTTGTAAAAAAGTTATAGACTCATAATAACATAGCATTTCATTAATATTTTACTAACTATTTAAGTTTTCAATATAGTTCAGTAATATCAAAATGCAAATACCTCTAATTCAAACTTCTAACATCAACGATTTGAACAACCTTAATATTAATCAAGAATTTTGAATTCAATTGAACAACATTAACAGTAGATTTTTTTTTTACCACAGAAATGAGGTTGTTTCACTGGCTAGTAATTTAAAAATAAGCCCTAGGATAAAACGATGTTATTTCAGCCCAAAAAATTTAAAAAAAATAAAAAAACAGAATCTTCACGTATCGTATCGTGTATCCTACGATACGGTGCGAAAATGATATAAAGACACGATACATATCGTTTTTCTGGTGTATCGTGACGTATCGTGCGATACTAACTATGATTATGACTACATTTGTCTGTGTAACTTCAAAATAAAAAGAATACTATGGAGGCCCTACGTATATAGTGGGGAAACACAAAATAAAGTAAACGACTAAACTACTCTAAATATTCAAATGCACTCTAACACCCCCTCTAACTTGGGATGTGATAGTTGAGAACGTCAAGAGTTTACCAAGCAAAAGAAGAAAGCACGCTATTGTGTGTGATTTCGTAAAGAAATTTGCTAACTATACAGTAGAACTATATAGTAGAAGGTAGAAAGGGAAGAGAGATAGTACCAAGCTGAAGATGATAGTGCACAAATTGGAAGTCAATCACAATATTCTTTGTACATTCATTAGACACCGAGTTGTGAGCAATCTAAATAGGGCTTGTGTTGTGTTGTCTCAATACATAGGTGTAAGAGTAGGTATAGGGATGCCAAGATCAGCAAGTAGCCAACATAACCGAAATATCTCAGCTGTAGTGGATTTCATACCATATTACTTAGCTTCAGCAGGTGAATGAGCAACAACAGTTTGCTTCTTGTTTTTTCTAGGAGACAAGGGAATCATCAAGAAAAAGACAGAAACTAGTAGGAGACTTGCAATTCATAGAGTCATCAGTCCAATTAACATCGAATAAGCTTTGAATTCCATAAACAAGGAGGAAGAAAATAAAATACTTTGATGCAGAGTGCCTCGAATATATTAAAGAATATGGAGAATAGCAGCCTAGTGAACAGTTGTAGGCAAGACAACAAATTGACTAACAACATGAATTGTATAATAGATATCTGGGTGAATAATTATAAGATACTAGACTCCAAACAATAGTACGGTAGAGAGTAAGATCTGGCAATAGAGTACCACCATCAAAAGAAGAATAAAGAGTATTGAGCTCCAAAGGTGTTTCAATTGTGTGATTATCTGATAAATGAGTTTGTTGAATAACATTCAATTCATATTTGGATTGAGAGAAGAGATAACATTTGGGAGAGGAAAAACCTTAATCCTCAAAAAATATTAAAACTGGTCTAAATCTTTCGTCTCAAAACGATCCCACAACTTATTTTTCAATAGTCGTATGCCACCTGTAATAGTCATATCATTAACATAAAGTAACTGAACAATGTAACTTGAGTAAGTGGACCGCCAAAAGAGAGCAAAATCATAATCATTGATACGAAAATCCAAGTCACAAACGACTAAAGAAAACTTGGCAAATCATACCTTGAGGCTTATTTAAGACCTTATAATACCTTTTTTTGAGTTTGCACACCTAACTAGGACTATGAGGTAATCCATTAGGAGGAGCCATAAAGGCTTATTCAATCAAATCTCCATTAAGATAGACATTTTTCACATCCATCTGAGAGAGACTCTATTAACGAATAGCAGCGACTGTACTCTTGAGTAATAGCAACTGTAAACAATGGTCATCTTAGTAACATGAGTAAATGTCTCCATAGTCTATGCCGTACTCTTGAGCAAGTCTTTGACTATCAATCGAGCTTTCTATCATTCCACATAATCACCAAATTTAGTCTTAATTTTATAGACCCATTTATTACCAACTGTGTGTTTGCTAGTGGGTAAGGACACCAACTTCTAGGCGTTAGTCTTATATAACACATCAAGCTCCTTATCTCCTCATCCATACCCTACTTTCAAAGAGGATTAAGAATAACCTCTTTATAGGAGGTAGGTTCAGAAGGAGAGTGTATAGAGGCTAAGAAAGAACAAAAATCAATAGAATAGCAAGATTTAGAGAAACTAAATCGATCTCGATATTTACGAGGTCACTAAGGATAACGAGGAATATGATCCACATTGGTAAGCCTGATTGAGTAACGATAGAGGAGGGAGTTATCTCATCTGTACAAGGGACGACTTAAGTCCAGCGTGCATAATTATGTAAAATTGGGGGCTGAGTGACAGACAAGTTAGAAGAGAAAGACACATTAGAGATAATCATATCACCAACATAAGTGTAAAAAATATTAGTTTGAAATAGATTAATGTAAATGAGATCAGATTTATGCAAATGTGAAGAACTAGATGAAATAGAAAAGAAGGGAATATGTTCTATGAAAAGAACATGACGAGAGATATAGAGTTTGTTTGCCACAAGATCATAGCAATAATACCCTTTTTGACCCTCATCATAACCAAGAAAGACATGTTGAGTTAAACGAGTAGAAAGTTTAGTACGAATAACACTAGGAAGCAAGACAAAACGTGTGCATCTAAACACATGTAAGGAGAATAATTAGGTGGCTTACCACATAGTTTTTTTAGAGGAGTGATTCTAGAGTTGATGATAGTAGGAATATAATTAATCAGATGAACGAACTGCTTTCCCTAAAAAGAACTTGGGACATTTGCGGATATTAATAGGGAGCATGCTGTGTTCATAGTATGTTGGTGTTTGCTTTTGCTTCACCATTTTGGTTAGGGGTGTGGGTATGAGAAGATTGACAAATAGTTCGTTAGATTTCAACAGATCATGAAAAAGAATTAAAACAATATTCTCCTCCCTAGTCACATTGAAAGCATTTAATATTAGAGGAATATTGAGTATGTATCATAACACAAAAAACAATGAATATAGAAAAGAATTCAGAACGATACTTAATTAGACAAATCCAACAATGTCTGGTATAGTCATCGATACAAAATATATAATATTTGGACCCTTCTTTTGTAGGAATAGGAGTAAGTCTCCATTTATCATAATGAACCAGTTCAAAAGATGCAAGAGAGTTAGTACAATTGCTATTGAAAGGTAATACAGTAAATTTAGCTAGCTTGCATCCACTACAATTAAAATGTCATGACAAGTTATCTAAATTACCAGTAGAGGCTAAGAACTTCAAACGGGAATAAGAAACATGACCAAGACGAGAATGTCACAAATAAAAACTAGAAAATTGTAAGCTCAAATAAAAAGAAGACAAATCAACAATGAAGCAGCCATATCTGACACATGCAACTCATTCGATGCATACCATACTGCCTTTCTATTGCCGGTCTTAATTAGCCTTGGAACGTGGATCATGCATAACATAACCAGAAGAAGAAAAGTGAGCAGAAAATCCAGAATGAAAAGGCTGAATAATTGAAATCAAGTTCAAATTAAGCTGTGGAATACAATAAATATCGGGAATAGTTAGTTATGGAGAAATAATAGACCTAACACCGGCTAATGACATTTGAGTACCATTGGCGGCAAACACAATAAAGAGAAGGTGGATGCAAATAAAGAAGAATCATTAGTCATGTGATGTGTAGTACTTGAGTCGAAGACCCAGATGGTTCAAGATATACCTGAATGACCCAAAGTGAACAACCCTACGGAAGGAGAAATTAAGAGAGTATTAAGCTGTTGAAGAATTTTTTCCAACTAGTCAACAATCATAGTCAATTTTAAATTAATAGGCTGATGAGAATCAGCATAACCACTTCCCATAATTGCAGCAAACAAAAAATCGAGTAACAACAATCAAATCACCTATACCAAATCCAAAACACAAAGCCCATAGTCCAATACAAGGGATAGCAACCAACAATTTCCAAGGAAATCAAAACCTGCAGGAAACCGACAACCCAAACCCTAATATAAGCATCGAGCAATAAACCAGCCAACAAATCAAACCAACTATCCTCCAAATCTCAGTAGCCACACCAAATCCTGGAGAATAAACCCCAGCAATAGATCAAGGACCCAATAGCAAATAATGACCCAAAAGATCAAGGCGGTTGACAATTTAAAAAAAAAAAAGAAGATTTTTCAAGAAAATAGGGTCGAAAATCTAGATGAGATTTCTTGAAGTTTTGATTGAATTCTCAGCCTCAAATCTCTCCTGTGGGGTGTGTTTTAACAGCCTAATAAGACAAACCAGAAAAACAGCCCAATAAGACACACCAATAGCCCAACAGCCCAACAATCCAATAGCCCAATAACACCAACCAAAATCTCTTTGAACAAGCAAACCAGCAACTTCAACAGCGAACCAGCAAACCTGAACAGATTGTGAACCAGCAAACCAGAAACACAGGGACCAACAACCTGAAACAGGAATCAGCAAACCAGAAAAACATCAACCCAAAGTGCAGAGGAGGATCCAACAGCCCTGTGTAAAGAATAGGTGTAGTCAAAGAAGAGAAAAGCCAAGATCTCATCCCTGCAAGTCGTGTTTAGGATCAAAACCTGCTCTGATACCATGTTAACAATGATCAACACAAGAAAGAGAAGAGAGAATGGGAGAGAAAATGTTATGGCTACATTCATGTGTGTAACTGCATAATAGTAGGGCAACACAAAATAAAATAAATGACTAAACTACCCTCAATATCTAAATATACTCTAACACTGATAAACTCTTTGAGCTTTGGTTGATTTTGAGGTCTTTGGCTCCGGCAGCTGTAATTGAGAAGCTATGGCTCCTTGATTTCATTGTATGTATAGATTGTTTCCACTCTGACCGAACCTTGGTGCCCTAATTTGTGTATGGGGTCCATGCACCCTCTGTCAATTAGCTGATTTGCAAGTTGCAACTTGACTGCGGATCCACCGTGCACTTGTTGGCTCGTTTTTTTATTGTGTGGATTGAATGGCAGTAAATTGAGTATGATTGGACTAAATTTTTTGAGGTTCCTGGGCTCCGGTGTGGCTATTTTCGTTCTAATTTGGCTTGACTTCAAGAGGTTTGCATGCACTTGATGGTTGCTCAGTTTGATATCAGGCTGTTACATGCAGCCTGTACATGATTCATCTAGTAGTAGGGTGTTTTTTTAAGTGAGAATGAACCTCAGGCCCTCAAGCATGCGGTGGCTTCTCTCTGCTAGGCTTTTTTAATGTTCATTTTATTGTTTATGCAACTTGCAAGTTTAATACCAGACATAGGACTCGATAGGATTCAGCTGAGTCGGATACAACTTTCCATTTTCTGTTTTGATCGATACAAGTTTAGTACAACCATGAGCCTCACTCTACTCGTGGAATATTCAGAGATGTCTTGGATGACTTGTCCGAGTTGTATGAGTTAATGATTTGCAACTCCGGAAGACAATTGCATCGCGTCTATGGCTCGGATCTTCTATCTAGCATTTTGTGCTAATTTTTCAATACCGACTTCCGACACAGGAATCAATCTATTTTAGTGCCCTTTGAGTCAATTTCAAATATTGCGACCTTAAACCATGGTATAGACGTGTGTATGGGAAAATTTAGATGTATGTGTGATATATATTTTTTATTTTATGTAGAAATTTTGGCAACAATTTGGCATAGATATTATAAAATGAGATGGGCATTCGCTTCCACTTGTCCTCATGAACTTGCACATTGATTTGTCACTTACTTCTAGACCCTTAATTGAGTGGGTCTGAGGAAGCTCTCTTTTTAAAAGGGGAATGAAACATGATTTATAGGGAATATAGATGGTGAAATACGTTTTCACAACCGATGTGGGATAAGTAAAAAAGACAAAAGAAAGACAATGTGTTGTCATCCCACATCGAATAGACAATCAAATGACCTCTCCCCTTTCTCTTATATAAAGAAATATCACTTACACCTTTAATAAGCTGTCTTGATGGGTTTTATTTTAGTGAGGCCAGTAGGCCTATGTAATAGTCCAACATTGTGCAACGACTCACATCTAATTAAGGATTATTGTTTGTTGAGCCTGAATTACCAACGCAAATTGGGTAAACCAATTTTAGCATGAGCTTATCCAAAATCAACTCGGGCAATACTTGGGTTGAGGATCTCGAGTTGAGGTCGAGTTAGGGTTAGGGTTAAAAATTTTATACCTAGGGTTGGGATAGGGTTGATCTCTCAACCTGCCCAACTTGCCCAAGTTGTACCCCTAGCCAGAGGAAGTAAACTTTCACTTTAAAGTCTAGAAACCGACCATATGCATCAGGTTACTGAATCAGGTACCAATGTGCTGGTCAGAATGGATTTGATCATTGTTGCACAAACAACAATTCTATTGATTCACCTTGAATGCTGGAATTATATTCTACTATACACCTTATAAATGCACGAACCCTGCTTGTAACTTGGTTAAACCTTTTCTTAAATTTTGACTTATTGACGTGTGAAATTGAAAAGTAAATAGTTCGTTAACATGATTATCACAGGATTGTCCTGAAGTGCATGCTAATGCAGCAGAAACACTTTGTGCCTTAAGTCGATATGCTCCCCCAGTATTAGCTGCTAAAATCACCAGCCCGAGGTATTATCTATTTCTTGGTCATCTTGATAGGAAGTAGGCAACTGATATTTTTCAACCTTTTTCACATTATTTAACGAACAATGCTTTGTTTTCTGTGCTTTCACAGTTTTATAGGAAGATTATTTCGTTGTGCTTTGGAGGACACATGGACAAAATCTGTTTTAGTTAACTCATTGTCTGTATGCATATCGTTGTTAGACCCAAAGAGGTTGACGTTGGGAACATATTATATGTACAACCGCCAACTCACTCCTCAATCTGTAGTAACTGCCAATCCTGAGACCATAGAAGGCATGCTCGAGAGCCTTGGTAAGGTTACTTTGATCGCAATGTAATGAAGCTATTGTTTGTACTTCAAACATTCTATTCCCCAGCCAATTGCACTTTTTTTGGATGATACATGCAATCTTCTTCTTCATTTTTTGGGTATGTTTTTCCCATGCTCGTTCTTATCTATATTACTGACATCTGTGATTTTTGTATTATTACTTATATTCTTAATTATTTTGTCAACTTCCATATTCCTTTGATATCCTATTAGAGGACAAATTCTAACACTCCTACTAGGCCTCTAGAATGTATCTCCCAGAGGTTATTAGTTGCATTCTAATTTTTGACCGTATGTTAAATCTTAGGTAATTAAACTCACCTACAACTCAACCCTACTCAACAAAGACTTGCCTCAACATTTTTGCGGTTGATTACATGAATCTGATTTGCCATTATGCTACCTTGGTGCATTAACTTTTTAAAATTATTCATGTCATTATTTTTTACAATTGAATCTGTAAAGAAGTAAACTTAAATCTAGTCACTATCAAACAACATTACACCAAATTTACAAGTACAAATATTCAAAAAAGTTATTTATAAGATATTAATTTTTAATTTATCTTTTGTGGTACAGTAATGACAATTTTTTAGATCCTCGCAAAAAGGAGTCTTCTTGACTGATGGTTTTGAAGTATTGAGGCTTATTAGCAAATGGTTAAATATAAAAAAAATTAAAACTATGCCTCAAAATAATTTATGTACAATGTACATTTGCTTTAACTAGTACTAATAAATATACTTCTTTGGTTGCTAGGCATGGTCTTTAATTTTAGTTTCATGTTAGATTCAGTTTTTTTCCCTTATTTTTAGAAAAGTAGTGATTTGAATCATGTCTCATGGTCTATGCTACATCAAGGAGATATTCTAGAACTGAAAATTACTTGTTGCAACTTTGAGATATTTAACATTGAGGCTTTATTGAAATTCGGCCTGGTAAAATTCAAACCAGATGGCAGCCACTTTGTCCAAATAATACCAAAGGGTAGGTGTATTAGTTTATTGCGAAACAGGGGCCAATTGGTTCAATGATTAAAATTCGGCTCAGTAACGTTGACATTGTGGGTTCAATCTCTAAATCAGTCACTTTATGCAAATAATGTCAAATGTTAAGTTTTTACCCCGTCTACCCCCCTTTAGAGTGCATTAATGGGTATTAATTTGGGAGATATTTTTCTTTTTGGCAATAAGATTATTTTAATTTTCAGAAAATATTTATTCTGATACAGTTTACTCATGTTTTATTTCCAACCAATGCAAAGCAGTATAAATTATAGTAAACACCTTTCACTGGTAACAGGCTGTCGATGATGACATAATATAGACAAACCTTTGCTTTTGCATCTTCACTCTCTGGGTAAACCTTGTTGAGCCAATGATCTGTGTTGTAATCGGTGAGTTCTGAGCTGTTTCTTTAAAGTCATGCGCACAAGGTAAGGCATTCAAGTCAAGTCATAGAGGGGGAATAAAAACTTACAAACTGTTTAATGCATGTATCAATATTAGAGTAGAAAGGTCGTCTAACTCCCCCAAACACAAGGGGGCGGTCACTACTCTCAGCCTATCGTAACAAGGAAACCAAACTCCTTACCAGAAAAGCATTATCTTTTCCCTAGAACAATAGACATTGGGACAACAGGAGGCTCTAGAGATCTCGAACGACACATCGTAATTTAGGCTAACCTAGCGTAGCATCAGAGAAACTTTAGTCATATCATAACCCATGGTTGAAGAATGAGGCGATCAAGAATGTCCTCCCCCTTGAACTAGATAAAATGAAAAAGTTTGTAAGAATAATTTTGAGGGTCATGCTCGAGTTTTGTTGACATTGACATGTATATGTGTAGGTTATTGGGTACCGCATTTGACTGCCACATCTTTTATTCTCTCTCAAGTCCTTGAGCAGGACTCAACCTAATTGTGCGAACTGTGAATATGTAGTAAAAATATTTCTTGGCGATTGATTGTGTCTGTGTAACTGTTTGTAAATGGTTGCAACATATATCTTTTAGGTGGTACCCATTGTCTTTTGAGTTTCTTTCTCACTATCTGGTCAAGTTCCTTATAGAAATTGTTTGTATTTCGGCTTCTGTACCTATGTTTATTGATGTTTTGGTTAAATCTTCAGTTTCTTTTCATAATTCTGATATGGGCCTTAGGATATAGATGTGCGTTGCACTGATGATTGAACACTCTTTATTGTTTTACTGAAAAAAGGAGGTCCCATTAATTATCGAAGTTGATGGAGGCTCTTTTTGCTGTATTCAATCACCTGTAAAGCAGGGGGAACACTGGATTGGGGCTTGTCTCAAAGGCAGGGCCTCACAAATGGCGATTCGAGGGAAGGCCCTTAAAGTAGTAGGACAGGTGTTTCTTCCTGTACGGTGTCATGTTGACAACATGCTTTGATTCTGTCCTCTGCTTGGGTGGATGCTAATCGTATGAAATTGTTGCCTTGTGGGAAAGAAATGATAGGGTCGATTGCAGCTTACTAGAATATTCATAAAACACAATCTTACTTTATCATAGTCATCTGGAATGTTACATAGATTATTTACTACTTAGATTTCATTTTTACTCAATACATTTTAACAAATGGATCTTTATGCACTGTTTGTCTTGGGGACAAGTGTATGATTTGAATTTTTTCTTTTAATGATGGCAAAGGACTTAGAATCTTCTTTTGATCTAAGTATGTTTTGCACATTTAAAGGTTTAAGGAGTTGAATTTGGTCTCATTTACTACTGTGCCAGGCTCGGAAGGATCAATTTTGGATGGCTATTGGCTCTGTAAGGAGATCTATGAGCGGATTGCTTGAGAGCTAATGCATCTAGTTTGAGGTCCTCAAGTGCAATGGCCTCACATGCAGGAGCAATATTAGCAGAAGCTAGCATTATGATGACTTTGAGGCGTTGATTTATATCATACAACTATCCAAGTGCACCCTACCTATGCATATTGGAGATCTATATCACAAAATATATTTTATTGAATGGAGAAAATATTGGTTTTTTAATCGGGAAAAATTTAATCAGTGTTAAAGGAAGGTTTTTTTTTGACCAACAAGAATGGACTCTGATTAATACTGGAAAAATATTATAGGGGGCAACTGGGCAAGTAGTCGATCAATGAACAATGAAGAACAGAAAATAAAAGGGAAAACGCAATAAAGGTACAAGATACATTTCACATAAGGATTTCGACTCTGCCCTAAAAAACAATGGAATTTTCTCAAAGTGAGGAGACACCAAAATCCAAAAAGAAGCCAAGAAACAAATTCTATACCATTAGCTGTCTTCCTCGTTACACTTATCTTTGACAATCTTTACATTCCTTTCTAGCCATAAGACTCGAGAAATAGCTGACACTACACATTTCCTAAGTGGTTGAGCTTTTTTACTCTATCGATAGTTATTAGGTGACACCCATTGTACATGTCACCTGATAGGAAGACAACCGTGGTAAAGCTGTATATTGTGTGTGCACATTCGCAGTCCACATAGCAAAGCATCTACACTTTGAGTAACATATATCAAACTAGTTTCCTGGGTCTACTTCACGGAAATTCTGCATCCTTTTATGTGCACATGGGTTTATGAACTTCAACTCCTGTGTGGTCTGGTCTGATCATTTGCATGTTGTTTTTAGTCTGCCATGTCCTAGATTATGCCATATTGGTTAAAGTTGATTGAATTGAGGTTTTGTTGGAAGATTTCCTTAATCATTAGTTTGCAAATCCGTTTAATATTTTTAAAATTTTGGGAGAAACCTGTATGTTCCAAGAATTTATGACAATAGAAGAAACCAAACATTATTTTGGTTGTACTGTGCACAGGTGATTTACTCAAGCTTTTAGATGTTTCATCTGAGGAAAATAGGTTGCTAACTACATATGGCAAGTTGCAGCCCCCTTTTGGGAAACATCGGCTGAAGGTATTCCTTGTACTTTGCCTTGTTAGAAAGAGTAATTGAATTTGTATTTGTCGGAGAAAAAATACCTCCATGCCTGCATAGAGTCCACCATGGCTGGGGCATTGTGCACTGGGTTGCCATTTATCTGTCCGAGAAAAATATTGTCTGCTAAGTATATTTTCCTCCTTTATTGACTTTGCTTGTTCGAAGTGGCCAAATTACATGAATGTTTTTGGTTAGAGAGAGAAGTTTATTTATATCACTTATTAATTAATGAACTTGCAAGCAACCTATTAATTTTTCTCAATTTTTAAAGTGCTCTTGGCATCTGTATCCGCAAGCAAAAAGGGCCTTCAAGGAAGGAGTAACAAATGTTATGAAGAATTATCAATCAATTTTTTTGCTCTTTGTGACCCTTTCCTCGGGTTCCCTGTATGTCATAAGAAGAATGTAACAAACAACTTGTTATTCAATACTGATTGTTGATTAAATGGAACTCTCAGATTATTGAGTTCATCTCAGTCTTAGTGACTGTCAGTAGTGAAGCTGCTGAGAAAGAATTGATACGCCTTGGTGCTATAAAACACATATTAGAATTATTTTTTGAGTAAGTGTCTCATTCCTTTTTCCCTTATTCAGTTAAATTTTATACTGGGAAACAACGGTATTCTTGGTGCCAAGACTTGGTTTTATTGCCTCTGCAGGTACCCGTACAATAACTTTTTGCATCACCATGTAGAGGACATAATAGAATCTTGCTTGGAGAGAAATAATGCTGCACTTACTGAACACATTCTTAACGACTGTAATCTTGTCGGGAAAATTCTTGAAGCAGAGAAGAATTTCACGTTGTCCACTGACCCAAACAAGGTACTGATCAGTTTCTATGATATCTTCAGTTGGGCGCGTGTATTTGTGATGTAATTTTTAAGCTCTGTATTGGTGTATTGTTGTTACTGCCTTTTCTGATGATTTGTTCAATTCCAGTTGTTATGGTCATGCTTTTCTACTTCAAATTTCATAAATGAAATCCTTATGATAGTTGACTTTGTTGATGTGTCTTTCAGCCAACTGTCCCTGCTGATGGGAGATCACCACCCAGGATAGGGAATATTGGACACATTACACATATATCTAACAAACTTGTTCAACTTGGGAAAAATGACAATTATATACAGGCATATCTACAGGTATTTTTTTTCTACCCTTCTCCACATGTTCCCATTGAACTGCTAGACATTTTAATGTATTGTCTGTGATTTTGGACAGGAGAATAGTGAGTGGATAGATTGGCATACAAATACCCTACTCAAGCGCAATGCAGTAGAAAATGTCTACCAGTGGGCATGCGGGTGTGTGATCCTTAATTACAACTGCTGTTATTGTGTTTTTTACATCAGCAGTCAATTCGCAATTTGGTTTTCCTAATGGATGATCTGATAAATGAGATCGGTGTATTTGACTGATTGTTAGGGGCCTTATTTTCATTTTCTTTCTCTTTTATAAATGATAAAGATTGGAAACTGTGGTGGTGATCACTATAGAACTAAACCAAAGCCAGCTACCCAAATTAACCCCAGCCCAAGCAAATATTAACCCCAACCCAACAGTTAATCAGCCCAATAAAGTCCGACCCAACCCAAATTTGTGAAAATTCTCCTCAAGCCACATACTTTTCTGCAATTACACATACATCCCACACAACTTTTCAGCAACTATGTATTTGACCCCAACAGTTTCTGGAATTACATATTTGATTCTTAAAGTTTTCTAAACTAAAGATTTAATCACAGAAGTTTTTGAAATTATAGTTTTTTTAGATCATCAAGATGACCTCTTACGGCGAATTAAATGTCAAAGTGGAGGCTTTATCCCAAGCACACGTTGATTCAAAAAAGGCCATGAAGGATGGGATGAATTCACACGAAGAGTTCATAGTATCACTAAAACCCTTAGGGGTCGTTTGGTTGCGGTACAGTGTGGATTACATAATCTTAATATATTAAAATTCTTTAATCTAACCTTATACTGTATTTGGTTGCAAAAAATACTCTATGTTATATATAGAGTCTTATTTCAAATGCTTATCCATATAATACACAATATCCATAGATTCCATACTAATGAGCCAATTATAATACCACCTGGAGAGGTGGAATAGTCTAGTTCAAGTGTACTAAGTTATAAATTTAATATTTTACTCACTAATTAAACAAAAATATTAATAACTAGACAATATTGATGATTTTTTGGTCAATATATAATTAGTACTCTATTATCCCAATCTTAATTCAGTGTTTTACCAAATATTGGATTACAATGCTTAGTATTTTTATCTCATATCTAATCTTGTATTTTATCCGCTTATACGGAATTCGTATGTATTACTTAATACAATCAAATAATACAATCAATTCTTTTACAGTACGGTAACTAATCGAGCCCTTAGATAAGAAGGTTAAAGGAGTTGAGAAGAATGCATATATTGATATATCTTGTTCAGCTATCTATCAACAAANGTTAAAGGAGTTGAGAAGAATGCATATATTGATATATCTTGTTCAGCTATCTATCATCAACAGATCTTTGCCCAAGCTTTAGCTTGAAAAAATCCTAGATTGTTGGATGTTCAGAGAGGGGTTAAAGTAGATGTTGGTGATTTTCATAAGTCAATAGGTAGTTACACAACCTCAAGAGTTTCTTTGGATGGTATCGTCATCAATGAGTGAAAGATGTTCTTCGCGGTAACCACATTATGGTTGTAAGAAGACTTTGGTGGGTGAAGTATCAACAAACTCATTTTGATGTCAACAAATTATGGGATGACATGAAGACTAATTTGAGTGGATACTTCGTACTTCCTAATTATAAGCAATGAGTTTATCTATAGTTTACACAATTGTCTTAGGGAAGCATGTTTGTTGAGGAGTACGGAGAAGGCATGGGACTCTATCATAGATTTAGTTGCAAGTCGTCAACAATTAGCTTGCCATAGTTATTGTTGCCGCCCGTTTACCGGTGATTATACTTTCTGGGATAACCGGCAGCTAGTTACCTATATGCGTTGGAAGTCTTTGTTTGCTTTATTGAGCTCTGAAACCTGCCTTTGTGTATTCCTTCGTCGACCATCTGAGAAAGATTTTTTTGGCTTTCTTTCTTTGTCCCGGTATTTCTTGTTGGCCTGTGAAGGGAGTCCCAGTTGACTAGTCAGACTATTTCTTTACAACATGACCAATTCAGTTTTTGTTGCTTATCTGATAAAAGATGAGTTTAAAAAGTAGATTTCTATGAGATTATTCATGGTGCCTACATCCCAAAGTGAAAGAACTTTCGTTGATGCAAGTTAAGGTAAACTCATTAGTAAACCAGAATAGAGTATTTTTATTCCAAATAAACCATTTCAGGCTAATGCCACTTCTTCTTCTCAGGGTAGTACTGATCTTGAGATGTTTTAGTTGCCATGGTTTTGGTTATCAGTCTTTTCAATACCCTAAATAATTTGTTGTTGTGATTGAAAAGGAAAATTCCTTGGCAAATAATGAGTTTGATAAGCCAGAATTTGAAACAAAATTGAATTTTTTTTTAACATAGGTAAGGTTGATTTTGATGATTTGGATAATGACCATTTGATGGAGATTATCTCTCTATTTATTACTAGTAGAGAGGTTGCTAATTGTGAGCATATTCATAGAGGGAACATTTTTTAGACCAGAGTTAATTGTGAAGGACAATTTTGCTCATTAGTGATTGACATCGGAAGTCAAGGTTCGAAGTATTGTCATAAGACTCCGTCAAGTCATATCTGCCTTGGCCACCTCACATTTCGATACCGCTACACATTACGAGAATATCATGAAACTCGTCTGACTTAGTGCTAACTTGGTCATGACTCGAAGGTATTAACTCTTAGAGTCAAAGTCAAATTGTTTGACTCGGACTGAGTCAACCGTGATACCACTAAGTCGATCTGCAACTCTCAAACAAATAACAAAATACAAAGAAAAAAATAAAGGGAGATGACCTAGTTGCAGTGTGTCTAGTCGGTTCGATCCATGTATGAATAAACCAAATGAAAACGGAATGAGATGAAGTAAAAATTTAAGACCTATCTTTTCAGAAACCACATGCAAGATGCAACTCATGAAATATTAAACCTTAATTCAGGAACTCTTTTCTTCTTCTTTGTCTCCCGCTGCAAGATGCAGAGGGCGAGCCTCATCTGTTTGCTTCCTAGCAATGAAAACCTCCATTTGATTGAAAGTTTTCGCTCTCTCTTTCTCTCTCTCTCTCTCTATTCTATCACGTCTCTTGACCAAGTGTTTGATGGTGTAAAGACCCAACTATTATAAATAAACAAAAACTTTATTTAACTATCAAAGACCCACTGTTATAAACCAAGTATTATAACTCATTGTTATAATGTGTTATAAATATAATACAATTCTATTTTAATTGATATATAAATAAATTTCTTAATTAATATTCAAAAATTAAATGATTTAAAAAATTTATTTCGATTTATGTACATATTATAAATGATACTTGGAGCACTATTGGTGATAAATCTTTTTGGTAACACCCTTATATTTGATTTTCACTATGTTTAATGTGTTAGATGATGTACTTTAAATATCTTGTGCATAGATGATGTACTTTAAATATTTTGGGCCTTCTCTATAGCATTTTTTGCATATAGACCAATACCGCTTTGAGACACTGCGATCGATGTATATCAGTGCGCTTTGAGTCGATGACCGATACTGTGACCTTAAACCATGCTGGGAGTTGCATAAATATGATATCGAAAGTTGTTGTGAAGAAATTGAATCTGAAAGTTAAGCCACATCTGGAACCATATCACGTGACATGAATTACTAATACCAAGTTGAAAATTGATAAGAGATGTTCAATTGCGTTCACTATTGGAACACTTTAGAAGATGTTCATGTGTGATGCATAACCTCTTCAACTTTGTCATATACTTTTAGGGCGTGCTGGACAGGGAGAGGATCATGATGCATTTTATTATTATAGCTAAAAGATATACATATTTACTTGTGCTACATATACGCATACAACACAATTGAAGAAGACTTCATTATAATTTGGAGAGTTTCACCATCTAATGATATTCTTGGCCCTCTTCCTCACTCATCAAAGTTGAGTTCTTTTTTGCTGAGGGGAATTGATGGCACAACTATTGCGTGCTTGAACCACTATAATTGATTTTGGAAGCCTAGACAGAAGACTAAAAATTTTTGGTTCAAAGAAAAATGTGATTGGTAGTACCATTAGGGGTAGTTTTCTTATTATTTATTAGATTATTTAATTAGACCATATTTGTTTGAGTAGTAATGTTTTAGTAATTTGAGTAGTGAGAATTTGATTAGAAAACTATTATAGGATTTTAGTAAGAAAGTGAGTTTCGTTTTAGTAGGAAATTTAGACTATATCTATATTGATGCAATCCCTACTATTTCGTTAGGTGATGGTAGTGAAGATTGTTCTATGTGGAGGATTTGAGTGTTTTTTTGACCTAATCTTTTACAAGGGATTGCTATCTCTTATTCTTTTTTCTTATCCTCTTGCTGAATGGCTTAGATTGGTATTAGTATGGATACGAAAAAATAATTCTATTAGATTGAATACTATCATTCCATTCAAATATCAGCTAGTGATTGCGTCCTCCCCAGTTCCCGTACTGCATCGTCCTCTCCTCATTTTGATTCACCTCTTTATTTATTTGAGCGGCATTCTGGCATGGCTTCTCTCATCATTGTTTTTTTTTCCTATAGATAATTGTATCAGCATAAAGCTAGTCATTATTCTCAAATATTGCCAGATTTCAATTATAGAGCCAATCATGCAGGATTGCCATTGTAAAACAGTATTATCCCTGGGTTGTTTTGGAAGTGGTGTAGCATACAACTTATACCTTGCCTTTTTAAGTGGATGCCTACGTCAGATGTGGTTGGAGACACTAAGAATAATGGACCTACAATGCTAGTGAGCTTGTCATTTTTCATTTGTCTATGCATGTCGTGTTTGGTTATTGTTTTGTGTGGGTTACTTGCCATTTACTTTTTGGGGTTTTCAGTTTCTGTTTTTGCCATGGCTCTTTTATTTTTTATTTATTTATAGGAAACAATACTATCTTATTGATTTCAAAAATAGTACATCAATGAGTTAAATAGGATGGACAAGAAGATGTCCAGCCATGAAATGGAGGAAAAAACGAAATCAAATAACATACTATTTTTTTTTTTTTGCCGTGGTTCTATAGTGGTTCTTTTGGCATTTCTAACCTCTTTCCCTTCCTTTCATTAGCAAAAGTAATTTTTTTTCTACTTGTTGTAGAGGTAAAGAATTTATGGAGATAATTTGTAGTGGGTTAAAGGCTAGCCTACACAAGTTGGAGTTTCGGGATGGCAATATGTTATACTAGTTGCAAATTGCTAGAATTTTGTCCTTGGAAGTTCATATGTCAGGGTTTACCTCGTTTTTCCAATTATGTTAAATTTGTTGTTGGGAAGGCGAANTGTTATACTAGTTGCAAATTGCTAGAATTTTGTCCTTGGAAGTTCATATGTCAGGGGTTTACCTCGTTTTTCCAATTATGTTAAATTTGTTGTTGGGAAGGCGAAAAAAGATTAGGTTTGGGAGGATGTTTGGTGGGTTGATTCTTCTTTTGTTTCTTTGTTTCTTTGTTTAAATCGTTTGTTGAGATCCCATAATGTATCCATTGCTGACATAGTTTCCTCTTAGTTGTCCCCAACTTGTTGGAATGCTGATCTCTGTAGGAAAGAAATTGAATGCTACAGAAAATTTTGAGTTCTCTTCTCTTTTGGGTATTCTTGGTAATGTTGTTATGAATCAATCTTCTTTGGATAGAAGAAGATGGATTCTATCTGCATCGGGGGAGTTTCCTTGTAAATCCTTTTTTGACTCCTTGATTGGTAAGCCTTTTCTTCTTTTCCTTGAGTCTTCAATCATGATTTGGAAAGTAAAGGCACCTTTAAAGGTTTAAGTAACACTAATGCATTACTTCAAAAAAGGAGTCCATCATGCTCACCTACAAGCATCCTTTGTAAGAGGGATGCTGAATGTATGGACTACTTGTTCTTATATTGCTCCTTTGTCTCTTAACTGTGGAATGGACTTAGATTGTTGGGATTCCTTGGGTGATTTCAAGAAGTTGCCGCAACTTGGTATTTATTATGAATTTCAATGGCTTGGGTTATGGCAATAAAGCCAAGGTCTTATGGAAATGTGCAGTGTTGGCTTTGTTTTGGGTAGTATGGTTGGAAAGGAATTCTAGGATTTTTTATGACAGGGAGTCCCGTTGGGAAGATTTGCGAGGTAAAATATCATTATTGGCTTCTCTTTGGGCTTCAACTTGAAAATATTGAAGGGATGCCGATGTTCTTGATTGAAGATCACTGACTCAAGTGTACAAAGAGTGTTGATAAAAGGCTTTTTTTCTTTTCCTTGAAATTTTTTTTCCTTTACGATGATTTTTAGTTAAGGTTTTCTCTTATAATGCTATGCTGTTTCTTATCATAAACCAAAGCTTGTGTATTTCCAATGACTTCTTTGTGCAAGCTTAGCCAATTAATCATTGTTTTCAGTGTTCCTAGGTGGATATTATTTGCACTGATATCAAATTGTGAAAATTCCATGTCTTTTGGACTTGCAGTTTGTTATTATGCCTTACTTCGGTTATCCTGTTTAATATGACGGGGTTCATATTTAAAAATGCCTGATGATACTATACCTTGTTCAAGTTGGTATTTGTTTTGCTTTGATTTTGTTAGTTGTTTTGTATGTTTCAAACATGGTTTCATTAACTCTAACAGGAGGCCAACAGCACTACAGGATCGGATGAGGGATAGCGATGATGACAATTACCAAGAAAGGGATTATGATGTTGCAGCTCTAGCAAACAATCTAAGCCAGGCCTTTCCATATGGCATTTATAGTAATGATTATATTGATGAGGTGCTCCTCATCACTTTATAAACTACTTAATATGTTCGTTAATTGTTTTGTTCTATTTATCTTATCTATATAGGTTTGGAATTGGAACAAAATGAACTGTTGAAGAAGAAAAAGCAAAACATGGAATATAGATGCCTATGTGTATGGCCTAGGGATAGAACTGTAAAGCAAGGATGATTACTATGGAGGTGAATCTCCTACAATGAGAAATGCTCTCCTGAATCCATGGCCTCTCTATTGGCCGTGGTATCCACCTTTGGTTTGGAAAATTTAGAAACAAAGAGAAGGTACTAGATGGATAAAGTGGGAGATACAGAAGTCCACAAAAATAGAGGTTTTGGCACACTAAGGTTTCCTAGGATGGAAAGTTCCAATGCTAGTGAATAATCACCCTGGTTGCGCTGACCTCCATGATGATGACTTTTTTGTTTTATTCGAGAGAAAGCAAAGAGCTGAAGACTTTATTTTGGCTACATGTCCAAATATAAGATTTGCTTCTTGAAGGATCAATTATTTGATCCGAGTATGAAGACTGTGGGATCTTATCCCAAAAACCATTCCATCTCAAGAAGAAAATGAATCATCCTTCTATTTAATAAGCCTCTATTATGTTAGGTCATGCAATTGTAAACCACTGATCTTGATAAATAAAGTCTTCATCCTACTCCACATCGATGCTTTGTTCAAAGAAATCCCCTGGTGTCAAGTATGTGGTGCTTAAAAGATAGAAAGGACATAAAATGAGGAAGATACTGTCAGACCTTGGGTTTTTATTTTTTTCTTTATAGTTTATAACAATAAACTTCTCTTGTCCTCAAATTCATCAAATTATTCCTTACTCTTGTCTTAGAAATTCTTATTCGAGACAGATGGAAGTGCCAGTTGCATGTTTGTTGCTGGGCATGAATGTCCAGCAGTTTAGTGGAGTTGATTTTGCTGTGAGATAGACCAGGTTTGGAATTTCAAAAGAAAAGGAGAATGGGGTACTGAAGAGAAGCTTGAGAGTAGTGGAAGGACTACATGCAGATTGTGTGAGTATAACTTCCAACTGGTGGGAAAAAGTAGATTAAAATTATTCAAACTTAGGTTTACGATTTCGCCACTAAATTTGTGGTGTCTTTCCATATAATGAAAGCATTTTTGGTCCTGCAAGTGAGGGCAAGGACATCAAAAGACCTCCTTATTTTGTAAACAGTATAGATAACCACAAATTAGGCAAAAAAAAGCATAATTGAAGAAGAAAAAGGAGATATGAAGATGTAGAAGAATCAAAAAGAAGAAACAGTGGGAATGACAATCTCTTAGACAAAGTGTTAAGGCTGCAACTAATGCTCAGTAGCTCACGTGGTGAGCCATTGCATTAATATGAACAATTACTGGTTACAGGGCTTGTATAATATTCATTGCTGCAAGGTATTACACTACTACTTAGGAACTTACCATAGTACTGTTACCAACTTACCATAACTTGGCTGCTTTTAGATTTACAACTGTAAAAGATAAAGCCAAACTGTATGACTCTAATTAAATTAATTGAACAGCTTATACATATTAGGGAAACTTTTGCTTGGTATTTTGTGATTGGAATGGGACTAAAAGCTTTACTTTTTGGCTTCCAGTAAGCTAGGTTTTCTCTATCCGAGAAATTGCTACCACATCAATTCCTCTCTTAAATGAGAGATCATAGAACAGATCTACTAACAATAAGTTTAGCAGCAGTGAAGAATTTGTAAGATTGCATCACTTTAGAAGTTTGGTAAAAAGTGCCTAAAAGGGGCCACAACCATTTCATGTGACATATACAAAAAGATCACTGAAAGATAATAGAAGTATAACTACAAAATCCCCGAAAACTCGAGAAAAGAAACTATTGAACTCGATGCACCTCATTGAGCCATAAGAAAAGAAAGGAAATGAAAAGACAAAGCTACAACATAGAAAAGTCCTCGAATTTGAAAGGCTTACTAGTTCCAGTCAGACCATCCTGCATCTCTTTCTTGACCATGGACCCTTTCCAACAGCATAACAAAGCGTCCACAAATTTTGGCATTTCTTACTCGATTCAAAAGAGTACATGCAAGTCTAGGATGCACGGATACAGGTGTCATATCTGGTATGATATAGATAAGGGGATATGACAAAGTTCGAAAATATAGGACACGGGTATGAATATTAAAATAATATAATATATTTTTTAGATAATAATAGAGTTATAATATATTAAAAATAAAGTATATATTATATAATATTAATAATAAAACCTAACAAATATTAATTTTTTGATTAATATTGAAATATATTAAAATAAACATCCACCACTTTCATCAAACATTTTTACATCAATTAACATTTATATATTTATAAGTTACATAACAAAAAATATATTTTAAAAAATAGAAGTTACACTTCTTTTAATAGTTAACAACCATTTTTTAGGGAAAAAAAAAGAAAATAACTTCTTGGCAGTGTCTTAGGCGTGTTCTGGCCGTGTTCAACTGAGTTCACTATTCAAGACGCTTTTAGCCGTGTCTGATATATGTTCGACACTGCCACGACACCCCTTGGGGAAGTATATGTGCTTCCTATATGCAAGTTGTGAGCTTCTCTATCTTGACTTTTTGCAAGACTTAATTTTGACTTGCACAAAGTCATTGCTATAATGGTGAGGGAACAAAGAGTTGGATCTGTTTTTTGTAGGTTCTTCCAACATTAGCACCTCGAAGTATAATTGTGCAATTTGTTTTTTAGTTTCGATTTTCAAATTTTCTTTTATTGCATTGGGAGATGACTCGTAATGCAAGCTTTTCTCATTAGCTCAACTAGCTTGAACTCGTACTTCATGGAGACTGGGTCCTTTGATGTCAATGTAGTAGGTATCCTCATAATCAAACTGAAATTTATGTAACGATTTGAAATTCAGGGTATGTTAAAGAATTTATGCTTGTTATTTTTACAAGCAATTCTAGTGATTGAATGTCATATGATGTTTACTGTGATTAGTGAAAACAGTAATGATTTTCATCTCTCCCGTGTATGCAATGGAAGAGAGGAGAGGGGTGGGATATTTGGTCTGGTGTCATGTAAACTTGGTCAAGTTTTCCAACTTGCTTTTTGTCTCCATGCTTGCTTTATTGGCGATCACCATCCTTGCACACCATCTTTTTTGCTTTTATATGTCATTGTATGTATGTAGCGATGATGCAATATCTCTTAGTTGTAAATATCCCACTATGTTTCTTCCACCAATATAACTCTCTATTTTACTGCCTGTAGGCTCGTGGATCAATTGAACGAGATGATGAGGTATGTTTGAGTTGGTGTTATGTCTAATTGATTGTGTGATCCTCCCTCCGTTAACTTTGTATCTGATGAGTTAATGCTGTGCCATAAAGAATTCCATGGGAACCAGTTAGTGTGATGAGTTGCGGTAGGGTCTGTAAGAATGAGAAAACTGAAGAGATTGGAAAAAAGAGGAAAGAGAGGAAGACTGTGTGTACTCGTGAGGGGGAGGGAGAGAGAGAGCTCTTTAATTTTTGCGCAGGCTTCTGTTTGTAATAACATGAAGGTTTCTTACAGTAAATTTTGGCAGGACGTCTACTTTGATGACGAATCTGCTGAAGTTGTCATTTCTTCGCTTTGCCCGGGAGATGAGCAGGAAAGGTTGGTGGATCATCTCCTCTGCATTGGTTTAATGGGAGTAAGAGTTGATGTTATATTGCATGGGGGGTTTTTTGAATCTTCAAATTTCTGTGTTTACGCACATGCATGCTGGTTACTCATGGTCATTTTACTAGGGTGATGAATTCAGATGTGCACATCTACATTTTTTCGCCAAATTATTGCTTTAGGATTGGAACATAGATCAGCTTCCCTCTATAATTTTCAATGTTTGATAGTAAATTTGGCCTCAGTATAACTAAAGAGAGCTTATATCCCACGTCGAATGACTAGGACCACTCAATATTGGTTTATATACTTGAGGGGCTACTCCACTTATAGCCAATTAGTTTGGTGTTAGATGCTCTAATATGGTATCAGAGTTGGGCTTAGCGTGGTCAATGTGCAAAGTCTCCTACTTATTTAAATTTCCCTATATGCATGTTGTTTGTTTGTTAGCCCCACATGGGAGCCCAGGTTCCACATGAGGGAGGGTGTGAAGAGAGCTTGTATAGGACCCACCCAAGTTGGTTTATATACTTGAGGGGCTACTCCACCCATAGTTCTCCACTCATAGCCAATTGGTTTTGGGTTGGATGCTCTAACAATAACAGTTACTAGCAGACTTGGTTTTGCAAATATTGGGGATATTTTAAGCTATTATTGTTGGCTCATGCTGATTATTGGCTCACATTTCTTTCACAAAGATTGCATTAGTGGTCAGAACAGTCTGTTCATGCTATTTTTTTTCACGGGACATGTATTTTGTCCTAAAATATTGGTTTTTTCAGAATGTGCTTACCTGCCTGTACTTTCCAGTTGCCAGACATAACCATTCTTTCTTCTGTTTCCAGTGGGTCTCTTTTTACAAATTCCAACTGGTTTGCTTTGGAGGATGACAGAATAGTTAATGAGCGCTCTACTGGCTCAGTTGCTTCCCCATCTTCTAAATCCCAAGGGACTGGTGCGATCAATGGGAGTGGTGATGATGTAGTCATTGTTGGTGAAGATGATGATTTGGTCGACACCGCAACATCTGAATTGCCTGAACCAAACCCGAGGTTAGATGGTCCTGTGCTTCATAACTTGTCTGAGGGCATGAGAACCACAGGAGCCAATGAGAATGAAACACAGCCAGAGTGGGTTGAGTTGAGTGGAAGTTCTGATTCTGGTGAACGTTCAGATGCAACTTCAGAATCTGTTGAGCCATTGATTGCAGATCAGTGTACAGTTTTACCAAATGACCTAAGCAAAGAAGACACCTCTACATTGTCCACTGATAATTTGGCAGGTAGAGGCAAAAGTGATACTGGAGGCCCACCAGAATCACTAGATGACTCGAAGATCGATAACTCTGAACTGCCAGAACCTGGAAATGGGAATCCAAGCTGTGACACAAGTGCTTCTGTTAATGTGGAGAAGCCCATCACAACAGAAGTCTCTCCTGGAGCTGGAGGACATGAAGAAACGAATTGATGTGAGAATATGTAAATTCTCGAGTACAGTTTAATGGGGGGCTAACTCAATACTGGTTATGATCTGGTGGCTGGATAAATTCTGGGTGTATGCCTTTTCCTTTGGTTACTGTCTGATGTATCCAAAGCCCTTCTGTACATTAACTGGCCCTTTTGCCCAAATATGGCTAACGATTCTTTCTCTCATCTGTAAGTGACTTTGTCTCTCTCTCTCTCTCTCTCTCTCTCTCTCAAACACAAACACACGAACGCAAAAAAAATAAAATAAAATGGGGCAATGTTTTTGATGTTTTACTGGCTAGTGTGATTTCATGCGGGCCTATATTTCGGCTACTAGTAAGGGGGCTGGGCTTTCTCTTCTGGTTGTTTCTGGTCCTTGGGAAGGGTCTAAGGTGAGTTCTAAGGCTGGTTTGGAACCCTTGTTTTAGTCATGTTAGTTTGTTCATTGTTTATTTAGCATCTACCACTAGGTGAACTGCATACTCTGATGACCCTGGTGAGTGCTATAGATTTACAGGATCTGTTATAATAACTAATTATCCCTTTTCTGTTGATGTCCAAGTGATCTGTTTTCTGTTGATCGTGGTGATATTTTTAAAGAAGAACTTAATTATATATCATACACGTTCGATCTCCAAGAAGGTTTGTTGATTGCAGGTGTTATCCTGTGATCTAACTTCAGATGCCAGAATTCTCACCTCAGAACAAGGCTCTCCAACCCGGAATAGGATTGGTTAACAGTTTCTCCCCTTTGCTTTTAGCGGTTATCCGCTCTGCACTTTGCTATCCAGTGTTTATCGGGTACGATAACTAATACACCAGAGATGCGTCCTTTTCGATCCTCTCTTATTAGGGAAAGGTCCTCAGTACACTAACGCCGACAATGGATATGAATCAGATATGAATCGAATTGTCTCACGATGTTTTGAATTCAGTTCACGTACCACTTTAATGGGTGAACAATGCAACTCTTGAAATATAGTATAGCGTCAGGTGGCTAAGAGACAACATCGGGGTGCCAAATCTCCCCGTGCAATGAAACTTTGCTTGATGCCTGGCTAATGTGTGTTTATGTTCAAATATCCTCGTGNTAATTTGACCTTATTTTGTGTTATATTACATCATGAAATTTGTTGTTACAAATTTTGGCACGCTTAGTAGGACACTTTCTTCCTCTCATCTCTCAAGTCAAAAATTCAACAAACCTGACAACAATGACAACTAAAGACATTGTGATTCCTCCCACCGACAAGTCAGCGGACCTGGTCGAGGAGTCAATTCCAACAACTCGTGCTAGAACAAAGGTGGACAAATCTTAAATTTTGCCACCAATGGAGCATGGACCTAGGCAAAGCAAAAGGAAGGCTCTTCCAACCAGAAAGAGACAACCTGCCCATTCTGCTGTTGATTTGGAAGAAGAAATAGATGATTTTTTGTTCAACACACACTCCAGCACAGACTCGATGNTCTCTCTCTCTCTCTCTCCAAACGCACCCGTTCATCACACAGTGCTCGATGATTGCTTAGTTCTCCACAAAGATTAATCTTTCAAAAATAGGTTTCTAGTAGGTTGTGGTATTGTTGTATTGAGCATAAACCGTTAGCATTATGTTACCATCTAATACCAAATCAACATGTAAGTAAGTGAATCTTATTTAATTAACAACTACTCCGTCCATGTAAGAAAATAACTATTAAGTGTAGTTAATGACATGACTTCAGGCGGCTCAATAGCCACAAGTTGACACGTGGATTATTGTAGTTATTATGAAGTGCATATGACGTTTGGAGGAGGTGCCGAAGAGTTAAAGCTTTGGGGAGGTCAAAGACATCCATCAAGGCCGGGCATTAAAGGAGATCTGAAAACACATTAAATAGGGTTTTGAGTAGTTACAAGTCATTAAATGCGTATTCAGTTCTTTGAGAAGTGTGAGAACAGTCATCATTACAAGGTATTAATTACCATAATGTTGACTCGTTGTCCTTAGTGAAACCAGAGGGGTGTTTAGTCCCGAGCAATGAATGCTCAGCGTAGGTGTCAAGCACTGAGCAGTTGTATTTAATGATCGGAGTAAGGACATAAATGCTTGGCGTGTCCTGAGCAAAGGTTCGATCGCCCTGAGTGAATTAGTCTTGAGAGGATTTAATGGGATAACACTCATTATGCATAAATACGTGTACAAGCCATTAAATGTTGAGATGAAACTCAAAAGTCCTTCAATCATTACTGGTTTAGGTATAAATACCTCCCAAAAAATTGAACAATGGTATGCAACATAGATCGAGAAAATATACTATGCTAATGACTCTCATGCCGACTGACTTGAGTTTTAGAGAGGATTAGTCGGGTGTTCACCAGCCCCTTTTCTAACCCTTTGATTGTTTTAGCTTCATCATCCAGCGGATCACTATCTGAAGTTATTTCAGAAACGCACTTGTGTAATTAACCATATCCATTTTTAGATTTATTATTAGATAATAATATTACATGACAATGAAAACGTGATGTGTCAATGATACTAATATTACTCTTATATTGGCCTCATATTTAGTGCTACTTGGGTCCAACTAAGTTGACGCACTACCAATGCCATTGATGATCAAATTATGCATGAAAAGGGTCTCTTGATCTCAAACCAGGACTTGTGACGTCCAAACTAAGGCTTCAGACCCCTTGATTCTAAATTGGGAAATTGGAGGTGGGTACTCCTATATAGACTTATTTGGATTTAAGTCAGTTAAGGAAACTTATTTGTTATGAAATCTGTTTTTTGAAATTTGACTAACATTAAAAAAATTTTTCTCTCATATTTATCTACTAGTAATTGTCCGTGCCTGAAGGCACAGAGTAACAAAAAACAATTGTGGTTAATTAAAAGGCATATCAAATCAAAATAATTGGTGTAACACATAAAACTAATTGTTCAACAATATTACTATCAATAATATATTACATATAGTTATGACTATATACGTGAATATCAAACCAAAATAATTGGTTTAACACATAAAATCTCAGTAGTTAATATAAACCAACTTTTATCTTTAAAAAAATTTTGACAAAGTTTTCCTTGAAAACATGATCTAATTGACAATATCAACATGTGTGTACAATTCATAATCAAACCTTTCTGTAAATAAACACTACCTTAAATCAATAATTTTGTCACATCACGTTTATATCGCTATTAGCATTGTTTATCAACTGTTGCAATTTAATAATTCAAAACATTTAATACAAAAATGAATAAGATACAAATTATAAACTAAACTAACACTAAATTGAGGCTAATATTAATAATTAAATACATTCACTTATCCCGTATAAGCTAAATAACCAGTAAAATTAATATATTGTACCTTCTAGTTAATTGTCATGCTTAAAGGTACTTTATAATACAAAAAAAATCATTAATTAAAATCCACTAATTATTAATTAAAATCACTAATTAATTGAGAAGATTGATTTTCAATTTGGGAAGTTTGAAATCACCTCTATCTTATTAGTATAGATGAGATAGAAAGAGAAAGAAAGTTAAATAAGAGATAGAAGTCTTAAAAAATTTTGGTATGAGGACCATCAGATTAATAATCGTTAAGAGATCTGAGCCGCAAAAAACTAAAGATAAAAAAATTTAGTTACTTTATTATTATTATTACTATTATATATATATATATATAGAGAGAGAGAGAGAGAGAGAGAGAGGAGATGAGATAGTGTATTTAAAATTTCTAAGAGATAAGAAAGAGAGAAAGAGGAGATGAGATAGTGTGTTTAAAATTTTTAAGAGATAAGAAAGAGAGAGAGAGAGTTATATGAGCGATACGAATGATAGAGTTAAGTCCAATTATGATCGTCAGATCAGTATTTATGAGATGATCTGAACCGTTTTTTATGTTGAGNGGAGATGAGATAGTGTGTTTAAAATTTTTAAGAGATAAGAAAGAGAGAGAGAGAGTTATATGAGCGATAAGAATGATAGAGTTAAGTCCAATTATGATCGTCAGAACAGTATTTATGAGATGATCTGAACCGTTTTTTATGTTGGGATTACATTATCTGTTGGATGTGTTTATATTTTGTTTCAAAATGATCTGGACCTTTTTTTGTCTCTAGATTTAAACTCAGCTCTACTTTATTATATAGATATCTATATATAGGTTAGGACTATATCTCTCATATATATATATGAGAGATATAAAAAATAGTAATATTCAAATACAAAAAAAAAGTATCATTTAAACACAAAAAATAATATTATTTAAACACAAAAAAATAGTAACATTTATATATAAAAAAATAATAACATTCAATATTAATATTTTTAAAAAATAACAATAGTAATATGTTCGATAAAAATAGTAGCATGTTCAATAAAAATAGTAACATACTTAACCAAAAAAATAACATGCTCAACAAAAAATAGTAATATGGAATATTAAACACAATTAAAAATAAAAATAGTAACATTCAAATACATAACCAAAGGAAGAAGTCTCCAATTCTTCAGCTTCCAAAAAAGTAAAGCATCCAAAAAAGTAACACTGAAAAAAATAATAATATGCTCAATAAAAAATAGTAACATAAAAAAAAAATAGGGATATGCATTAGTAAATTATGATTTGAAATTGATGTTATTGAACTGATGTTACTATGCTAACATGAAATACTTGGTGTGCACTGCCCATGTTATTTTTTCAAAATCTCGAGCTCATACTCTGGCTTCAAATTTTATTCCTTTCAAATTAGCTTCAAAATTCGAAAGTCGATTATTTAAATGTATAACAGACAAAATAATGAATAAGAATTNAAGTTTGAAATCACCTCTATCTTATTAGTATAGATGAGATAGAGAGAGAAAGAAAGTTAAATAAGAGATAGGAGTCTTAAAAAATTTTGGCATGAGGACCGTCAGATTAATAATCGTTAAGAGATCTGAGTTGNAACTTTACATAATTGATCAAATTAACTCTATTAAGGGTATTTTTGAGATTAAAAAAAAATTACACTTAACTCCTTACTAATAAGTTTAAGAAAAAACTTACCCTCAAATAAATTTTTTTAACGGATTGAAATCATTACAAGTCCATCTAGGAAAACTTAACTCCAATTTTTACTTTTAAATTTTGGCCGATAATTAACCAGAGATTTGGGGCCCGAACATGGACCTAAGACTTGGGAACCCAATTCGGGACCTCAAACCTAATCCCATGATTGAAACTTTCATCGGGANTCTCTAGATTTAAACTCAGCTCTACTTTATTATATAGATATCTATATATAGGTTAGGACTATATCTCTCATATATATATGAGAGATATAAAAAATAGTAATATTCAAATACAAAAAAAAAGTATCATTTAAACACAAAAAATAATATTATTTAAACACAAAAAAATAGTAACATTTATATATAAAAAAATAATAACATTCAATATTAATATTTTTAAAAAATAACAATAGTAATATGTTCGATAAAAATAGTAGCATGTTCAATAAAAATAGTAACATACTTAACCAAAAAAATAACATGCTCAACAAAAAATAGTAATATGGAATATTAAACACAATTGAAAATAAAAATAGTAGCATTCAAATACATAACCAAAGGAAGAAGTCTCCAATTCTTCAGCTTCCAAAAAAATAAAGCATCCAAAAAAGTAACACTGAAAAAAATAATAATATGCTCAATAAGAAATAGTAACATAAAAAAAAATAGGGATATGCATTAGTAAATTACGATTTGAAATTGATGTTATTGAACTGATGTTACTATGCTAACATGAAAATACTTGGTGTGCACTGCCCATGTTATTTTTTCAAAATTTCGAGCTCATACTCTGGCTTCAAATTTTATTCCTTTCAAATTAGCTTCAAAATTCGAAAGTCGATTATTTAAATGTATAACAGACAAAATAATGAATAAGAATTTGAAATTGAAATATTATGAAAAGTTTGTAATTGATAATTACCATCGCAAATCAAATATTCTTATATTTAATCATTGATCTCCATATATAACTCCTTATAAATAATGTCTTCAACTTTACATAATTGATCAAATTAACTCTATTAAGGGTATTTTTGAGATTAAAAAAAAATTACACTTAACTCCTTACAAAAAAGTTTAAGAAAAAACTTACCCTCAAATAAATTTTCTTAACGGATTAAAATCATTACAAGTCCATCTAAGAAAACTTAACTCCAATTTTTACTTTTAAATTTTGGCTGATAATTAACCAGATATTTGGGCCCGAACATGGACCTAAGACTTGGGAACCCAATTCGGGACCTCAAACCTAATCCCATGATTGAAACTTTCATCGGCATCATAGAATTTGAGATTCAAATTTTGAACCTAGACTCGGGATCTCAAACCTAGACCTAGGGGTGTTACTCCCGATGAGCTACTTAGGCATGATTTGGATAAGATTTGACTTGAGTTTGACTCGTATTGTAAATGAGTTGAGTTTAAATAATTTTTTAGATTTATTTAGACAAACGAGTCCAAAAAAACTCGACTCGTTTATATGTAAAATAATCAAGTTATTTGGATTTGGCTAGGGTTCGCCTCAGGCTCAGGCTCAGTTTATTTTCTAAACAATCCGAGCTTGAATAATATTTTAGACTCATTTAAAAAAATGAGCTCAANTTAACTCTATTAAGGGTATTTTTGAGATTAAAAAAAAATTACACTTAACTCCTTACAAAAAAGTTTAAGAAAAAACTTACCCTCAAATAAATTTTCTTAACGGATTAAAATCATTACAAGTCCATCTAAGAAAACTTAACTCCAATTTTTACTTTTAAATTTTGGCTGATAATTAACCAGATATTTGGGCCCGAACATGGACCTAAGACTTGGGAACCCAATTCGGGACCTCAAACCTAATCCCATGATTGAAACTTTCATCGGCATCATAGAATTTGAGATTCAAATTTTGAACCTAGACTCGGGATCTCAAACCTAGACCTAGGGGTGTTACTCCCGATGAGCTACTTAGGCATGATTTGGATAAGATTTGACTTGAGTTTGACTAGTGTTATAAATGAGTTGAGTTTAAATAATTTTTTAGATTTATTTAGACAAACGAGTCGAAAAAAACTCGACTCGTTTATATGTAAAATAATCAAGTTATTTGGACTTGGCTAGGGTTCGGCTCAGGCTCAGGCTCAGTTTATTTTCTAAACAATCCGAACTTGAATAATATTTTAGACTCATTTAAAAAAATGAGCTTGACAAATTTAGACTCAAACTCATAAAATTTGGTTCGATTAACGCTCCTTATTTAGGCATACTAAATTTAGAATCGTTGATTTTGAAAATAATAAAACAAAATGCACAAATTTTACACATGTCGTATTGTTATTGGTTAAAAAAAGAGGCACAATAATTTTTGGTATAGTAGTTGTAATTAAATTTAACATAAATAATCTATCTTTAATCCAGCCAATGAGTAGATTAACAAAGGTTTATACGTCAACTACTGATCTAAATAGACTAACGGGCAATACCCCCAAAAAACAAAATTTTAATTTACAACTCAAATGCATGGAAGGGTAGAAATGAGATGTTAAGTAAAGCAAACATATCCAAACCCTAATCCCTAAATCACCCCCTGCAATTCCTCCACAATGCTGGGTGGATTGTACGGAGACCTTCCACCACCTTCCTCCGCCGACGTAGAAAAACCCATCTCCAACTCCTCCGCCGTCTGGTCTTCCTCCGCCAAGTTCGCCCCACCCACCCTCAGAAAACCCGCTTTTACCACTCCACAAACCGTCCTCAAATCCCAGTCCAACGCCAAAACCCGCAATTATTCCCACCCCAGAACCGTAATTTCACAACCGCCGCCGCTCGCCGATGATCATGTACCGACGTCGTTTGATCCGGCGTTCATCGCGGTCACCAGCACGGTCGTCAAGGAGTACGACCCTGCTAGGCCGAATGATTACGAGGAGTATTGAAGTGATAGAAAGAGAATATTTATAGAAATTGAAATGAGAAAAGAATTGGAGAAGAGGAGACAAGAAGAGGAGGAGAGAGAAAGAGATAGGGAGAGGGAGTTGAATTTGTCCGGTGAGGAAGCGTGGCAGCGACGTGCCACCATGGGTGGGGCCCGCAATGTGCCTAGGTCACCATCTCCGCCGGGTATTGGGGGATTTACAATTGCGAAGTCGGAGACAATGACAGCAGCGCAGAGGATGATGGCGTAGATGGGGTGGAAGGAGGGGCAAGGGTTGGGGAAGCAGGAGCAGGGTATTACAACGCCGTTGATGGCGAGGAAGACGGATAGGAGAGCTGGGGTTATTGTGAATGCGAGTGAGAGTAAGCAACAACAGCAGGAGAGGAAGGTTAAGAGTGTGAATTTCAATGGACCCCCAACTCGTGTCTTGTTGCTCACAAATATGGTATGCCTGATATCTAATGGGATATTGATTAATTTAATTAGGCTTTTTTGTGAATGTTAATCACCATTATGTTTATCCTATGGGGTTTGAAATGGTATATGTTATTAGCACTCAAATGTCTACTAATTGCACACCATCAACAAATGATGGTGTAGAAATTGATCTTTTTGATGTGCTTGAAGTGATTTTTGGAGTGCCAACTTCGAATGGCACTGCCTATTTCTAATTAATGAATCTGATGATGTACTTTAGCATGTTGGTACTGTATGTTGCCTAAATGGTAGGTTATGGTTTTTGAAATCTTACTGAAAGAACAATATGTATTTCATAGATGCAATCTGCGTAGGCATAGCGGCAGTCAGTTGAATAAGGATAAGAAATCGTTTAAGTCAGTTGAATAAGGATAAGAANTTGAAATCTTACTGAAAGAACAATATGTATTTCATAGATGCAATCTGCGTAGGCATTGCGGCAGTCAGTTGAATAAGGATAAGAAATCGTTTAAGTCAGTTGAATAAGGATAAGAATTTGGGGATTGTGTTAGTTTGATGGGTATTCAAAATTGCACAATATTGGAAATTGAGCACCATGGTATTCACTAATGTAATTCTTTTTGAAGTGAAAACAACCTATCCCATGCTCAAACCCAGTGGTGTAAAAAGCGCGCATGGGCACGATGCAAACACAAGATGCGCCTGCCTTGCCTCGATGGGCCTGAGGCAAGGCGACTTCACTGAGGCACGCAGTTGAGTTGCACAAGGCACATACCTCTTGAGTTGTAAGTTTTTCCCCCCCTTCAGTGATATTTTTGGGCCATTGATCTGTAGAATTTGATATGTACAGCACCAGATTACACCTCTAAATGTAAATGTCTAATTTTGAGCCTAATTTTTAAATTCTACTCGTCAATCCTTCTAGTTATCAGGATTTGTTTTGGGCTCTTGATATCTGTTTGTTGTTTTCCCATCTTTCATCTGTCTTTTTGATTCTTTTTTCTATGCCTCTCTTTGATCTCTCCTCCCCCCCCCCCCCCCCCCCCCCCCCCAAAAAAAAAAAAAAATTTCTATCCAGTCCTTATTTACTGAAATCCACTTCTCTTTTTTAAAAATACAAATAATTCTTTTTGTGGATTAATTAAACCCTAATATTGCGGAATTAGTCTTTGGTTCTAAGAAATATATCCCTCAGGTTCTGTCCAACTCTCTTCCTCTTCTTCTTTCTAACGCTGTTTGGGAACTTTTTGGAAACCTTTATTGAAAATTTGAAATCTGATGTTCCAATTAGAGATGGACACTAATAACTCTAGAAGTTGCATTCCAAATTATTGTTGATGTCTTTGAAATTTGCTGAATTTGATGCAAAAAGTTGATTAATTTTGGTAGGAATTTTGCTGAAATTTGGTATTTGCAGCCGATATATACTTTCATGAGTCGTATATGTCATAGTTGCTTGGTGCTAGCTTTATTATCCATCAGTTGTGTTTATATTTTTAATTAGCTGAAATTTTATTCTGGAAGCTGTTTAATTTTGCAAGGAATTTTGATGCAAGTCACTCTAAACTGCTGCTACAAGCTGTATGTGCCTTTATTTTTATTTTGAATTTGCCGCATTTTGGTTGTCTTTGCAGCATGATTTGCAATTTTTCCATATTATATACCATATCCCCCTTCCTTCCATGAAACCTGTGCCTTGCCCCACCCCTAGACATGAGCCCTTGGTGCCTCGGTGCGCCTTTTGTTGCCCAATGATGCTAATTAGTCCTTTATGTCAGTATTGATCATTGATTGATATGGTCTATCTCCTTTCTCCCCAAAGCTCAAACCTCAGTTATTAAACTATTTGCTACTCTGGTTGCCTTTTATTCATCTCCTCTGCTTTATGTTTGCTACTCATGTACAAAGAATTTGATACGAGAATGTATTGAGAGTGTTGTGCTTTCTTCTTGAAGGTTGGTCTTGGTGAGGTAGATGATGGTCTAGAAGGCGAGGTTGCAGAAGGGTGTACCCAGTACGGAACAGTAACTCGCATCCTAATTTTTGAGATAACAGAACCAAATTTCCCACCTGATGAGGCAGTCAGAATCTTTGTGCAGTATGACACGGTAGAAGAAGNACAGAACCAAATTTCCCACCTGATGAGGCAGTCAGAATCTTTGTGCAGTATGACACAGTAGAAGGTGNACCAAATTTCCCACCTGATGAGGCAGTCAGAATCTTTGTGCAGTATGACACGGTAGAAGAAGCAACTAAAGCTCTTATTGAACTGGAAGGCCGTTTCTTTAATCGTAGGATCATCCATGTGTGTTTCTACGATGAGGAAAGGTTCAACAAGAATGAGTTGGCTCCAATGCCAGGAGAAATATCTGGCTACTCTTGACAAAGTAGTAGGACATTGTGAATCAAATTTTCCTCTTTTTTTAATATTCGGGTTCGATAAGAATATGTTGGCCCCGATGTTACAATATATCACTGACTACCCTTTAAAATTAGAATAATCGAGATTGTAAATCAGTTTGCCTGGTTTACTTGTTCAATCACCATCCTTTTACTCCCCAAACTGATCACTGGTATGTTTTGTGGCTTAATTTTGGAGCTCTTTTAAGTTTGTCAAATCGCGGTGCGCAGGAGATTGAACTTCGGATATTGATGATGATAATGGATGGTAGGAGATTATGTCTTGAAAAGGCAAGTTACTTGTTCTTATGGGAACAGGTGTGGTTTATGGTTGCTGAATGTGATTGTTTATACTTCGCTTGGTACGATGAAAAAATGGAAGGATGAAAAATTAGAGAGATAGATAAAATATTATATTTGGTAAGAAAAGAAAGTAGGAAGGATGAAAAAGTGGATGAATTAATTTTTTTTTTAATTCACTAAAATCAATCCCTCTAAAATTGGAAGGAAAGTGAATCAAAAGTTAATTATTTGTGTTGAGATGTATCTTATTTGTCTATATATATTATTTATATATTAATTTTATATAAAAATATAATGATAAAATATGTATTTATATATATTAAAAAAAATAAAATTAAAAAATAAAATATATATATTTTATCTTAACTAGGAATGAAATTTTTTGACTCAACACGATAATATAATTAGAATTCAACACAAATTTTATGATACGAACTTAAAAATGATTTGACACGTGAACAAGAAATATAAAAGACTCATAATTTTATGACTCAACAAGAATTTGACACGGCACGACTTAGTTGTTAATCCTAATCTTAGTCATCACAAAAAAAAATTAAAAAAAAATTAATCATTTTTATTTTTCATCAATCCAACCAAACACAAAATAATTAAATTGTATTATTTCTACTTTCCATCCTTGAAGGATAGAAAATATATCATTCCTATTTTGTATAATTTCTACTTTTAATCCTTCCTACCAAAAGAGTATTCGAGTAATTTCAGAAAAAACTTGACATTAGGAAAAATTTGAGGAAATATATGGGCAAATTATACTTTTTTTTTTGGTCGGGGCAAATTATACTTTGACCATCTCAACTATAATCCTTTTTTTTTCTCACTTTGTCCCATCAATTATCATGTTTTTCACATTTCAACTATATGATTAGTTTCATATTATCTCACTTATTAATTTTTGTTACATAGTTTATGGAAAGTTATTTCATTTTGCCCCTTGAATTATGTAATTTTTTTTATTTTACCCCGACATGCCAGCAATTTTCGCCCAAAATGATGAACGATGTTTACCATCGGCGCAATGTGAAATAATCATAGTAGTAGTTGAGGGGATAATGTAAAAAATTTAATAATTGAAGAGAAAAAGTGGAAAAAGGGTCATAATTGAGGAGGTCAAAGTGTAGTTTACCAGAAATATATTACCTAGTGCATTTTTTATAAATGCAGAAGTTGTGATAGCTAACACTAATTTCACTTGGAATCCACGAGGTAGATAACTCAAATGGTTCCTCTGCTGAGACCAAAAACCTATTATTGCTACTCCTTCGATGTTTTCTTTGATACTATTATGATGGCAGTAAGGAAAGCAAAGAGAACAAGAGAGTGTGAATGCTAAAATTGAAGAGGTTTGATTCAAATGCTTGGGAACTTAGCTCCAATTGTTTCCACTTTCATCTACATTGTTTGGTGTCCAAACAATGTCTTTGCTTCGACCCCATGATACAAAGTGGACACCGGACAGTATTGAGTTTGGAATCTACCATGCTGTGATTGAATTTTTGCTAATAATACCCTATGTGCGACGGAGTTAAGAGTCTTTTTTTTCTTACTCATTAATGGTGTACGATGTACTAAGAAAATAATTAAAGAAGATCGGGATCTATGAGGAACCCACCATTGAACAGTATGAAACTAAGGTGGATTCAACGCAGTGAATGTGAGCCAACTAACGACATAGGAGGATGCAAGTTCATAATTTTTACATTATTGCCAACCATTACCATAAAAAAAATTTCATGTATCCCCCAAGTGCCTTTGTTCCCCTCAATTCCATGTAACTGGGAATAGCATTTTTCATTTAATATAAACATGTAGGAAGATTTATCTTAGAGAAAAAAAAAAGTTCAACAACAAAATATTTTTTACAAACACTATAATATATTTGAGAATAATCAAAGATAAAATAACATTTAAGTTTGGTGTTTTTTATTTATTTTTTGTTTTTTCTTTTGGTTTTGGAGTGGTTCAAATTAAAACTTAAAAGAGACGAGCAAAATAGACCGAAACAAAAACAGTGCCTGAAAATTTCAACCACGGTGTTGAGGCGAGCCCGCCGGAGTACTCTGGTTCGACGACCTCGCCTCCTGCAAGTACACTTGCTGGTGGTGATACGCCGCCGGCACAGCCATCACGACTGGTCCGCCATCAGCTGCGGCGGTTGTTGAAGGGTGGCGCAGCCCATTTGGGAGCCTTCCGTACATGCAAATTGCGAGAGGATGGTTCGAAGTTGGGTGGTCATGGGACGAGGAAGATACACCACAATTAATCATGGTGGACACAGCAGAGGATGCGAATAAACGAGTTGGGTCACTGAAACCCTTTATAGAATCTCTGATTGCAATGTGGTGTGGCGACGCCGTGGTTGAACAGTCCCCACCGCCGCCGATAAAGCTACTAGTCGGCGTCGGTGTGCCGCTTTTTCTACCAGCACCGCAAGCCGAGCACATGTTTGAAGCCTGTAAAATAAATATAAACAGTATTTTTTTATAAGTATGATAACATTGATGATTTTTATATGAACCAAAATAAGACTTATTGGTATTTTTTCCACAAAAATTCATGATGATGAAAGATGGAAGAAGTAGATACAGTGGTGGTGGTGGTGGAGGCGGAGGAGCGGTAGGTTGTGCCATCAGGTTCAACGACCCAGCCAGCTTCGACGGCTAGGTGGCGGAGGACCTCATTGATGTCGGCACGAGGGGAGAGGTGGTAGCCACCGTGCTTGCGGAGGCCTTGGAAGATCTTGGTAGTGATGGACCTCCTCTGTCTCTCTCTCATCTTCGTCTTTTCTTTGTCCATAACACTTCTCACATTATTCCCACTGCTCCCACTACTTCCACCACCATCCTTTCTCTCACCTTGTACTTGCCCTCCTCCTTCCTTCATCTCTCTCTCTCTCTCTCTCTCACAGTTTGCAAAATTGTGTGTACTAGTACTCTCTCTTAGTGTTTAAGAGGTAGAAATGTTACATTGAGGGTGGTGAATGAGTTAAAAGGTATGTGATCAAAAGTGTGTGACAGAGTTGGGTGTTTGGGCTGTGTTCTTGAGTTACCTACGAGGTTGGTATAGGAAAATGCTATTTTAATCTAAAACATTTACATAATATTTTAATTTAATTTATTAGAATATTTAAATTCGTAATAAATTTTAATAAATATTAAAACTCACAAGTAAATTAGGACTTGTGAGGAAGAAAGCACGTTCCCCTTGTCGAGCACGGGAACAAATAACAATTAAAAAGTCTTCACCGAAACTGCGTTGTTAATGGTAAAATTGGAATATAATAGAGTTAGAATTTCATTGAAATAAAATATTAAAAATAGAACATCATTGATATAAAATAAAAAATAATAAGACTTAATGGATGCTTGGTATGAAAAAATAATATTTATTCATAATTTTTTACATTTATTAAGTCAATATTTTAGATCAAAATAATATTAGTCGGAATTATATATATGTTTGGGTTGTATTCTTAAATTGCCTAGTGTGGATATGTATGCATCAATACATATGAAAATATGAAATAAGGCTAAAATTATAATATCAAAAAATATTTTTCAATATCCTAATTTATAGATATTGATTTGGTTAATTTGTAATCATTAATCATTAATTATACAAATCTATTTAATATTACATGCAAAAATTTAAAATTTTAATTTATAAAAATATAACAACAATTAAGATTAATTTAATTTTTATCTAATTGTACAAAATTTATTCCAAATTTTTTTCTCGTTCAAAAGCATTATCTTTTTTGTACGACCTCTAATATCAAACAACTCAATAAATACACTTTACCATGTCAACCAGGCCGACTAATCCACATCTCTCTTTTTTCTTTTTCCCTTATTCTCTGTTTATTTTTTATTTTAAATTATATAATTTAAAAAATAAATTATTATGTAAAACATAAAAGTTACATGATCTATGCACTATTTTTGGTATTGTATAAAGTGTTACCAGACATAAAATTATTATTAGTAGCTAAATAAATAACATATTAAAATACATACAAGACTTTTATTGGTGTAAAATAGAAAATAAGGTGTCGTAATTAAATTCATTGTATAAATTAGAGATAGTATTCATACAAAATTATTGGCACCATATTAAAAATAGATGCTAACTGTAGATTTTGTGTTGATTTATTTGTAATTATTTATTTTAATAATAATAATAAAATATAAATATAAATATAAAAAAAATATATGATACCCAAAAATTACATATATTTATTTTCAATGATTGTATTTCCGTACGGGAGGATATGCTTCTGCATGATACAGGGAGGTAAGAATGGCTATTTGCATGTAGGTCTCAGAGAGAGAGAGAGAGAGAGAGAGAGAGAGAGAGAGAGAGAGAGAGAGAGAGATCACGCGGTCTGAGTGGGTTGGGGGTGTGTGTGGAGAGGGGGGTTTGCGCGCGGGGGGGGNGTGTGTGTGTGTGTGTGTGTGTGTGTGTGTGTGTGTGTGGAGAGGGGGGTTTGCGCGCGGGGGGTGCAATGGGTGAGGTAGTTGGCGTTGGCGGCTGAATATCAGAGTGATCAGTACTTGATTGTGTGCAGTGCGGGCTGACAGTGACACAGACACTCCTCAGATCTAGAGAGAGAGAGAGAAGAAGGAAGGATCCTTCTTTACCTGTTCCCACTCTTTTTCTGTCATTGGGTGCAACAATTTTCTTTTGAAATTGAGTTAGTATTAAGTTTTAAAGGTGCTTAAGTGAATAATCACACTTATCTTCTAAGAATATGTTTTAACATAGATTAATCGTTGAGTTTAAAGAAATAATCAATATAAATTTAAATACTATGTAAGAAAAAAGAATCAAATTAGTATTATGAATTTAATTTAACTCAAAATTTTACTAATTTCATGAATTCCAATAATTCATCTTTAATATTATTTGTCAATAGAAACATTAAAAAGAATTAATTACCATCATTAGATTTAAATAATATAATGCACCTATTTTGTCTTTATTAATTTTTGAGAAATACTATATAAATTAAATTTGCATTTTAAATGAACGAAAACTATTGAGTGAATTTCATCAATTTTTTTAATCATTCTTGTTTATTTGGAATGCATGTTTAAAATACAAATTTAAGATAACATGATCTTCATCATCTTTTTGGTCTAGCCGTTGCCCAAAGTGAGTAGTGATCCATGAGTCCATGACAGTGTATGTATAATTGATAAAACTAACAAGAAAGAAGCCGACTCGAAGTATCCATAACCTTCAAGTATATTAAGTGTTACCCGTTAGGTAGTTGGCATGGCATGGCATGGCTATGACATGCGGATAATAGTCCAATGGTGTTCTATGCCTTAAAAAATAAAAATAAAGTATCACAAAAATGACTTATTTTGCTTTTTTTTTAGAACTATTCCAGCTCTTGACTTTTTTTTGTAGTTAAATTTAAATTTGAGTAAAAATAGTCAAAAAAATATTTCTCAATACTAGACTAATATCCATATTAAATAAAGAAAACTTTTTTGTAAATTCAATTCAAAGGAGACCTAAATACAATTCCCAAATCCCAACGATCAAATATCATCCGAGAAGATTCACATTCTTTTCCTCCAGCTCATTGTCCTCCAATTTGCTGGTCATTGTCATCCTCCAAAGTAGGAGTTGGAGTCGTCAAGCCGGTTATCGTTGCGGACAACGACTTATAGAGTGACCTTTCGGTGTCTTTGTCTTCCCCTTCATTGGATTTTTGGAATTGCGAAGTGGCCAGCGAAGTCGGGGTGTGGTGGTCGCTTGCAGTTCTCATGAATGAACCAGATTTTTGGAGGAAAAAAAAACAAGAAAAGTGTTTTTTTAGATAAGTTGGAAATTTTTCAATAAGATTTGAGTATAAAAATAAATTTATCAATCAAAGATGTTTATATCAAATAAAATTTTTTATTTATTTTTTTAAATTTGAGTAAGAATATTAATCACCGAAATTTGAGTAAGAATATGAATCCTCNAATCAAATTTTTTATCTATTTATTTAAATTTGAGTAAAAATATTAATCACCGAAATTTGAGTAAGAATATAAATCCCCGAAATTTTAGTAAATATTATGATATCGTTTAATAGTCTGTTTATGTGGACAACTTACAGCAACTTTAAGGGTCTCAATAAAATACCCATTATCTTCATTTGCCTGATTATTCTTGTCGAGGCAAAAAAACTTGCTATTGTGTTTTTGCGCCAATTTCTTGACTCCACAAAAAACCCCCAATTTCAGTTTCCTACACTGGTTGTCTTCCTGAACTAGACAGAGTGTTCTCCGTCCCGTCCAAGTATAGAGTTTCTCTTTCTCTCTCTATGTGTGTGGATGTATATATGGGGACACAAAAATCCTATTGAAATCCCATCTTTCTCTCGTTTTCTCAGCTCCCACCGAAAAACTCATCGGAAAACCCACGAAAAAACCCAAAAATCTCACAAAAAAATCCGCCAAAAATCCCACCAAAACCTCCCCAACGACTGAATTAGTGAAATTAGAAGTAGATGCAACCCCACCCATCTTAACCCGGCCTTCAACTGTTACCTTTTCTCCGAAATCAAGCTTCTCATTGACCTTCAATTCTTCCTTCCATGGTTTACCCCAAGCACCATTGGAGCCTTCAACTGTTCTTCTTCCTCTTCGGTGGTGATGATGGCTAATATAATCTATCACACTCATAGGACACCAAGGAGGGTTGTGAAACCAAGCCAGAAGACCATACATAAATCCTCTGTAACATCTTTTTGATCGTAAAATTATTTAATATTGGTGTGATCTAATATTATTTATTTTTTAGTGGAATTAAATGAGTTTTCATTTTGGGCAACCAATATGTGATGGTTATGTTTGTGAATTGTGGCTGTGATTTATGAAAGTTTGTTAATTTTAGAATTTAATTAATAATAGTTAGTTAAAGTTAATTAAAATAAAGAATATTGTTAGAGTGAATTAATAAAAAATAGTAATTAAAATAGAGAGGGTAATGAAAAAATACTACGTATTTGTTCCAAGACTTGAGCGAAGCTATCAAAACGTCGGCGTTTTTGACTAACAGCGCACAATGCTCAAACTCAAACTCTCTGGCAACCGCCACACATCGACTCCCTTCTCTCCTCTATCGTCTCAGCTCCGGCGCTGCCCACCACAAAGCAACCACAACCCGACACCGGACCACCTCGAGCCTTAGCCANGCTATCAAAACGTCGGCGTTTTTGACTAACAGCGCACAATGCTCAAACTCAAACTCTCTGGCAACCGCCACACATCGACTCCCTTCTCTCCTCTATCGTCTCAGCTCCGGCGCTGCCCACCACAAAGCAACCACAAGCCGACACCGGANTAACAGCGCACAATGCTCAAACTCAAACTCTCTGGCAACCGCCACACATCGACTCCCTTCTCTCCTCTATCGTCTCAGCTCCGGCGCTGCCCACCACAAAGCAACCACAACCCGACACCGGACCACCTCGAGCCTTAGCCACCACCAACCGAATCATCGGCGGCCCTTTTTCTGGCAATTTGCAGAGCCCGATCCTCCATTTTCGATTCTTCAGTCAAGGTACATTCTCTTCGCTTCTCTTCTCTTCTCAGTCCGTTTTCTATCTATACGACAATTAGACAGCAGATCTAAACACTCCAGTCTCCTCTTCATCTCTAAAACCCTGACCGCATCAGCCACGCACAGTGGCTGGCATACTGCTATCTGCATATTGATCGTTTGTATATTAGTGTAGAGTTGAAGTTTTCTCAATGTTGATCTTCTGTATAATTTTTTTAGAATATCTGGTAAAATTTTCATCGTGTAGAATTCTAACTATTTTATGGAAAATTGAACAAAATATTAATGAAGATTGATAAATTAGAATGGCCATCGCTTAC